AATGAATCATTGTTAAACGAGCATTAGAAACCTGGAAGCACTGGACGGTTGCTTTTTGGTGGTATGGGACTCATAAGCTAACAATGACTGATTCATGATTTCAGTGATAAAAATCAACCGTCATAACTGTATAATTGTGGTGTGAGCTACTTATAAGTAGTATATGACGTGAGTGTCAACGTAATGTCTGGCAGCAGAACATGGGGGAAGATCAAGAAAGGAAGAGTTAGAACACAATGAATTTGTATGAAACGCATGAATAGTAACAATGGATTGATGTTTTGCAACAGGAACAGTCCAGTTCGATATGATGGACTGATATTTTGCAAATGAACGATTTACGATATTTTTTTCCAATTTTACTGAGTAACTCTGTAATTTGCGTTAAATACAATTCGGTTGCCCCACCTGTGTTCTCGTTCACTACATAATGAAATATCGTACAATGAGCTCGTGAGCGAATTCTCGTGGTTTTAGTTAGAAGACGTGACCAGTGTAGTTCATTCCTGTCCAGTTATTGTAGTAATTACCGAAGACAAATAGGTTAAGTCGCGCAAAATCCTTAGATTGATCAGAGTTACACATTAACACCGTTGGATTCCGGCTCAGTGATCCAGAAGTTAAGCGTTCGCGTACAAGATCACATGTCCTGAGTCCGAGTCCTGCCAGTCGTACGAACTGTGAATGCGTCACTGCCGCTGATGAGTCCCATACCTAGACGAAATTGTCATCTTTCAATGCGTTCATCTTTCTAATAGAATGGTATAACACTGACTCATTCATGATTTCACTAACAACAATAACACTTTTTATAACTAACTAATAATCACATTTAAAAAAAGTAAAATAAAATAAAATAAAAAAATAATCATGACACCATTAAAACTTGAAACAACCAATTTTTTGTTACATGTTCAATAAATGACACAATTTTGGATAAATTCGTGACAATTTATCAAACATCACACTAATCATAGTTAGTGTATAGGTATGGTTTATCAACGTTTCAAAACAAACAAAACCTGATATATATTTGACATGCGAATGTCAGATTTCATTTGTTCCAAATGGTAAGCTATAGTTTTGTAATGAATGAATAGGTTTCAACTATGTTAGGCATAAGGTGGTTAGTTAGTTGGTTAGTTTAGGGCAAAAATTAAGTTTCTTTTTTATAAGATGATGAGCTAAGAAAAATGTTAAACCTGTTACGCTCGTCACTAGGTGTACGCTTGAAGCTATTACTAGTTCACCTTAGTAGTTAAAAACGTCCAGATAGGCTACCTTGATCCGAAAACCGCTAAAGAGAAGTCTTGATACAGCGTAGAAAGTATATTCTACAAACACCCAGCAATCACAATACACAATCAAGCATACAACTCTCGTTTATTTATACATCATAGAAACGTCTTTGGGACAGTTACGAAAATAGCACATTGAAATGCACAGCAGCCAATCACAGTCATGGATTTTGCTGGTGGGAAATGAAATCTCAAGGTCAACTGATCAGCCCATGCTCGCAAAGGTGAAATCCAAGATAAGGCATTTATCAAGCGAGTTCTGGGGATCTAACGTTACCAACAAAACCACCGCTGAAAATCTGAGAAGTCAGCAGACGGTTGTTTCGTCCAATCATGAGACTCCTCAGCAAAGCATATCGACGACCCCATAAGCGGAAATGGAATATGGGGCTTGCGACCTCATGCGCAAACATTAAGGTTATTGACCGCTGAATTTTAACAATTCCCGCAATCCTGTACTGATAATTATCATGGACCTACTAGTGATTAGCTTTCAGAGAGGATCATCACAGGTTCAGTAAGAAATTGTGACTGATAGACTTCAACTATGTTGGATATCGGCAAGTTAGATACGTAACATAATGGATGAAGTTTGTGCGAGATTATGAATCGATCGAAGTTAGATATTAACACTATTGGATATCAGCTCAGTGGACAAAAGTTTAGGCATTCATTAGTTTGCGAGACTTAGGATCTTGAGTTCGACTGATAAAATGAGGGGTCTCATATCAGGATAAACTGGCTATTCAGTGCTTTTACATGTCAACTAGTGGTTTAAAATTGACCAGTTCATGATTTGAATGCCAATTAATAATTTCTAGACCACTTTACTGATTGTAACATTAAGCGTCTGTACAACCATCTTACCATGTTACTATTTATTAATGTGAAGCTTTGAATTTGCATAAATGACCTAAACATCAGACATTTATCTCTATATTTGAAAATTCTAGGTTTATTGACTTGAGTCAGTCTACTGATAGTGAGCTCTGAACTAATGAAAGGATACAATGGTCATCTCGTGATGATTAATAAACCAGACATTGAGAAGATTAACTTAAGGGGAATTTACGGACAGTGTATTACTTTTATGGTTGAAATCATGAAGTGAAAGTAACTAGAAGACCATTAGAAACATGAGAATATAGAACGTCCATTTCCTCTCAACACAGAACTCAGCAGAAGAAAATTGTTTCAGATAAAACGAAAATATGTACACTCAAGGTCTAGATGAAAATTAAACGATGAATGAATTTATTTCACAACCGATAGTTGTAACGAACAGTAGAGAGCTGTGAAGATTGTAGATTTGCAGTGAAACCATGAACTAATCAGTGTTCTTTATCATAGGTTGAAACTTCTCAGCAGTGAGAATCAGTGACACTGTAAGTGGGTGCTGAAATCAGGATCCTCGACCTTGCACACGGATGCCTTACCAGTGTTAATGTCTAACTTGAATCAATCCATAAGTTTGCACTTTTTTCATCAATTGTCTTCAGTGAGTAAATGGTTCCTGCTTGAGACGTTTTTCACGTGATTGGTCACGAGTTCTTATCATTCATTATTCAGTAAACATTAAACAAAATGGACAAACCTTTCTTTCCCTTACGTAGTTATTCACTGAATGGTAACGATTGCTACAATCCTATACTGATAATTACTACATGTTCATTAGTTGACTATCTTAGAGATGGAAATCTCAGAATTTCAAGTCAGAAGTCATGACCAATAGAGTACAACTGTCTCAAGTATGAAACAGTTACAAATCGAACACATTTGGTGAAAATTGAACAAAATCATGGATTGATTGAAGTTAGGCATTAACACTGTTGGATACTGGCTCAATGCTGAAGAGTATAGACGTTCATGTACGAGATTAACGATCTTCAATTTCAATCCCACTTGCACTAACGTTGATGTGCACTGTTCACTACCTTGAAGTTTTCAATGGTGATTTAACATTGATCAGTTCATGAATTCAGTGTGTACAAACAGTTTTTATAACTCCATACAAATGGTTAAATCAAGTTTTAATAACAGAATCTTCACAAATCCCCTTACATTGATCTTCTCAATGTCTAGATTTTTTTGATCAATACATAAAGTTCATTGTATCCTGTACTTTTCTAACTTCAATACCCCAGTATAAAATTGTCAGCAATCGTAAAGTGGTCATTAAAAAAGATTATAATTATTGAAATCATGATTGTTACGTCTTATTGAAATCATGAATCGATCATTGTTAGACCACTATTAGAAACCTGTGAGCACTAGACGACGGACACCGTCAGCAACAATCTACTGCGGATGAGAACGAATCAGATTCCAGCTGTAGAAGAAATCAAGCAAAAACTCTGAAAGTGGAGAGGATACATTACGGAAGGCACCCAAAAGCTTCATGGGGCAAACACTCACCTAGAGTCCAATAAGTACAGTGTCTAAACAGCAATTCAATTTTATTCCCTATAAGAATAATACAAAAGATCCAATGAAAATGATGAAACTTACAGGAATGTTTACAACAATGTTAACCAGTATGTACTTACTCAGTAACGATAAAAACGTTAGAATAGTCTCATATTTTGACTAAACAACTGTTCAATACCTGGTTGTTTTGCAATGATTAACCAACTGAAATCATCTCAATGATATGCTTGAAACTATCATAAGTTCACCTTACTCGATAAATGAAACAAAGATCAACGATACAATGGTACGATAGGCTATTCTTATCCGGTTGTCCCAGACCTCGCTAACTGGATCAAGAAATCTTGATAAGGAGTAGAAAGTGTTCGGATATTCATCCAATATCCTAAGAGAATTATTGGTCAATTTCTATTGCTTAATTCCTACTGGTCAATTTTATGGTTGTCCTACATATCAGTGTCACGAGCCCCAATGTTGTTGCTTATTGGTTGTCCTGACTACCAATGTCACTTCAAATGTTTCTTCGTATTGGTCGTCTTAACTGTGAATGTCACAAACTTCGATGCTGTTTCCTATTCAACCTAAATGTATAAATACGCATTATCTATAACGTTTTATGACCAGGACCAGAGCTCGATCCCGGATCCCTAGTCCGAGATCCTGATTCTCTTCTGGATTCGGATCTCGTACTTTCTGGATGCTTGTACAATACACGATCTACTTCATACTAAGTCTTGTCTTCTTTTACTAAATATGGGGGAGTTGGAATAATCGGATTTGAGTAGTATGTTGCATCGCCGGATCCTCGATCCTCATTCTCGTTTACTGACTAAGCTAAACTCGTAATACTTCAAGCATATCAAGTTTACGCGTTTACGTGCAGGCGTAACAGAAAGTGTATTCTACAAGCACCCAGAAAATACGAGGTTGCTAATCACACAACTCAAGCTTATTTATACAATGATAGAAACGTCCTTAGGAGCGCCACAAAATAGCATACTAACATCATAGTCCATCAACCAATGATAGTCAAGGATTTTCCCAAAGGGGAAATGTAAGCTGAGAGTCAACCAAACGTCTCTTGGCGCGAAAATGTAGAATTTCAAAATTAGGACTTTTTCCAAGTGAGTTCTGGGGATCTAACATCCTCAACATTCACATCAAAAACTATCTTAAAGTCTTTCTTATGATGATCAATGATATGACTATCCTAATGTTTACTAAAATAATGTGTTTATACTGTTTTTTTTCCCAATATTTTTTTCCTAAATCTAGTACTTACAGATTTATATTGTCGTATCGATTCAGATTGTTCTTTCATTCATGGTAGTATATGTCATCCAGGAGTTGGTGCATGTGTTTGCCCTAGTGGATATGAATTTGTATTTCAACATTTTTCTTGTTGTAAGTTTTGGCCTTTTTTGAACTGTGTTATTGTTACGTATGCACGTAAACATGTCAATTTGATATACTTGAACTAGTACGAGTTTAGCTTAGTCAGTAAACGAGAGAGAGGATCAAGGACAAGACATGCTCCTCTAATTAAAGTGTCCCAACCTCCACTTTGAGTAAAAGAAGAAGACTTGATATGAAGTAGAACTTGCATTCTACAAGCATCCAGAAAATGCAAGGTCCAAGTCCACAAGAAGACACGGATCTCGAACTGAGGATCTGGGTCCTGGTCCGGATCATACAACGTTACAGATAATGAGTATTTATACAGTTAGTTCAGATAGGAAACACCACTGAAGTCTGTGACAATGACAGTCAGGGCAACCAGTAAGTAGCGACATTGAGGTACGTGACACTGATAGCTAGGACGAACATAATATTCGCCAGAAGAAAATCGACCAATAGAATTAGACTTCCAAAAAAAATTCTCTTAGGATATTTGATGAATATCCTAACAGTTATTTATAGATGTGTTGTTAACAAATGCATACCGATTTTAATGTACAATCCATCTAAACTTTAGAAATAAATGACTGACAATACTTTTGTTATTGTGACGTATACAAACTTGTTAACAAGCTCTAAAACTCTATAATAAATAGGAGGCACACGATGTACTTACTAGTGACTAACTTCATGAGGAAATTCTCGAAGTTCTAGTGAGAAATCTCGACAAGTGAAGTTCAACCCTAATGGGTAGGGAGGCTGTGCAAAACCTAAGATTGATCAAAGTTAGAGATTAACACTGTTGGACGCGCAACTAAATGGTCTAGAGGTTAAGGTCTTGTGTCTGTTTCCCGCGTGCAGAGATGCTGATAAGTCTCATACTATGACGAAACTGCTGTGAGGTGCTTCCAGGTTTCTAATGATGTCCTTACGTTGATCGAGGCACGATTTCAATGAAAATGTTTTAATATCAACAACTTCAGGGCTAAAGAACCACTGAAAAGTAGAATATACAAACGTACTTGGCTTTCATCAAGAGGTATCTTAACTCTTCTAAATGACAGAGTTAAGATGGTTTGAATTATTTATTCCGGTTAGCGTTGGTTTTATACGGGCTAGGGTTTATAACCTAATGCCCAACCCTGCTTCTTTATCTGTGTTTGGGACCGTAATTAACCCCATTAGGGCTTCAGGTGGATTCCAGAACGTAAATTACGGTCTATTAATTCTAACATGGGACTTTGTTATGCTTGAAACTTATACATTCACCTTAGTCGGTAAACGAGAACGAAGACAAATGATCCAGTGACACGATAGGCTACTCTGATCCGTTGCCCCAACTAACTGAAGAAAAATTCTTGATATAGCGTAGAAAGAGTATTCTACAAACACCCAGCAAACACAATGATCTCAAGCACACAAATCATGTTTACTTATACATGATAGAGACGTCCTTGGGAGAGTCACAAAAATAGCGTACTGAAATAACACGTCAAGCAGTGAAGGATTTTCCGAGTGACTAATTGTTACGCTCGTTTATAGGTATGCCTAAACTATGACGGGTTCACCTTAGTCGAATAACGAGAACAAAACAATGAACCTGCGTCCAGGTAGGCTACTGTGATCCCTTGACTCGATTGGACCAGCAAGAAGTCTTGATATAGAGCAGAAACTGTATTCTACAAACATCCAGCCAGCACACAATAAATTGCGTTTATTTATGCTCTATAGAGACGTCCTTGGGACAGTCACAAAAATAGCACACTAAAATGACGCAGCAATCAATCAAAGCCAAGGATTTTCCTGGTGGGAAATGAAATCTCAAGGTCAACTGAAATAAATCCAAAATAAAGATATTGATTAAGCGAGTTCTGGGGATCTAATATCCCCAACACTAATGTAATCTCAAGGTTAGCTGATCAGCCCATGAATAAAATCTAAAATTAAGACCCTGATCAAGCGAGTTCTGGGGATCTAGCGTTACTACAGACTGTTCAAAGACACAGGACAATTTTCACATCTCTAATTCCAATCAACTTGTAGTATTTAGTAACCTTTCTTTCAGTGTCATTCATATGAAAATAAATGCACAATCTCTTAAATTGATTAAAGTTAAACACATAAACTACTGAATTCAGACTAAACACTTTCAACGATCAGTTGTTCCAGGATAGACCTGTAAATCCTACGTTTAATATTCCATAGATTCGTACTATAGCAGAGTTTCATATTGCCAAAAAGCTGTTCTTCTCTATTTCGTGATTTTTACTAGTTGCCCAAAAATCAATACAACTCCACCTTGAGTTAATGCCGGTCCCAAAACCGGCAGATAAAGAAGAAGGGTTGGGCATAAGGTTAGCCATCCCCCATCCCGTAGAAATCCAACGTAATTTGCTAGTTGACGAACTATGCTCAATTAGGGGTAACAGGTGTAAGTAAGTAAGTAAATAAGTAAGTGCTCAAGTAAGTAAGTAAGTAAGTAATTAAGTAAGTAAGTGCTCAAGTAAGTAAGTAAGTAAGTAAGTAAGTAAGTAAGTAAGTAAGTAAGTAAGTAAGTAAGTAAGTAAGTAAGTAAGTAAGTAAGTAAGTAAGTAAGTAAGTAAGTAAGTAGGTAAGTAAGTAAGTAAGCAAGTAAGTAAGTAAGTAAGTAGGTAAGTAAGTAGGTACGTTAGTAGGTATGTAAGTAAATAAAAGACATTATCTTATGTAAGTGTTGTGATTCTAATTATCCTGCCTAAATAATTCGATTACTTTTTGCATTGTTTCTGCAGTACCTCGTGTCATTGACAATTCGAATCCATTTTGTAAAGCTTGTCAAAAACATGATGGCGTATGTGTATTGAAAAATACTAGAAAACAGGATTCAACGTTCAATGATTATTATCAAAAGTAAATTAATTTTGGATATTTCATATTTAATATACACTGAAATTTTTGTTAATAATTTAAACTTTGTTTAAAAATAAATAATGTTATAAGTAGTATATACACGTTTAAGAAAAAAACTTTTTTATAGATTAAGAAATATTTAGTGTAATTTTAGTTATTGAATATAAGGAAAAAAACATTTTACAACTAATTTAATTATCCCTGTTTTAGAAAGCATAGAAAGTTATTATTTGATTGATGAATGTAGATAACTCTTACAAATATATGTCAACAGCGAATTCCGAAGGACTGATCGATTGCTTTATCTTGGTACAAGATCATTAAGCAGTAGGAATTCAGAACCCGACGTACAAGAATCGAAGCACGGACTTTCGATCTTCTGCTCAACACACCTGAGTCAAATAACTCTCTCACACACCAAAACACGCACAATCTCCACGAATTCCTTTTAATAATTACAATCGTGTGCGTTCAATAGTGACTTACTTCAAGATGTATTCTCGAAGTTCCAGTGGGAAGTAGTGATCAGTGAAGTTCAATCGGTACTGGGTGTGAGAGAGTTACCCACTGAAGACAATGGACGAAGGTTGTGCAAGATCATGGATTGTTTGAAGTGAGACATAATCATCGTTGTATGATGAAACAGTGATCACGGCCAAATTATCATTTGCACGGTAATCAAGTATTTCTACGTTTTTTTAAGTGGAGTACGTTAGATCAGTTTGTGATTTTAACTGTAAAACAACTAGACATATACGTCAGTCAGTCAGCACATCTAAACATCTACATCAGTTCAAGTTGCCACACCACGTTAGCACAGAGACGTTATTGTCAGTTAAAATCTCACAGTAGTATAAGCGGTAAAAGTATCAGCAGTAGTAGAGAAGATTAGGGCCCGAAAATATGAATCTAGGAGTATAATTCACTGAAATAAGTTTAAACAGAGAAAAAACGGCCATGAGGAATTCGGAAGATTAGAATTTGAGAGAACACAAGGAGTGGATGCATTTGCGTCATATCAAACGACTCCAAGCTATGCCATTCAAAGTCTCAAAGCATCAGTAACTATTATCTCACGGACCGCAACCAGGTAGTCTACACATACTAACGTGTCTCAGTCCAGTAACTTCGTGGATTTCTGCTATGTTTTGGTTTGGCCGCTCCTAGCTTTCTTCCAGCCTACCGCTACACCACAAACCATAGCCCGTTTAGGCAGTCAGTGAATGAGCATATGGAACACATGTCCTAACCACCCCAGGTGATAAAGTTTCAATACTTCATCTATTATTATACCATCCTTACCAAGTACTCATCTCCTAACAACAGCATTGCCTACTCGATGGTCGCAGGATCTTCATCACTCGGGGTGGTTGGAATATTGCTGGGGACTTTAGAACCACAGAACTCACTTAATGAAGGTCCTAATTTTGAATTTTTAATATTTTCGCACCAAAGACGCTTAGTTGTCCTTCAGCTTACATTTCCCACTCAGAAAATTCTTGACTATCATTGGTTGATGGATTGTTTTGGTACGCTATTTTTGTGACTCTCTCAAGGGCACTCCTATCACTGTTTAAATAAGCTTGAGTTGTGTGATTAGCAACCTCGTATTTTCTATGCCTTTCTATGCCTTATCAAGATTTCTCGTTCCAGTTAGCTGGGCTTGGGATAACAGATTAGAATAGCCTGTATCGTTGGTTTTCGTTCCGTCTACCGAGTAAGATGAACTTATAATCGTTTCAAGCATATCAGTTGACGAGCATATAAGACCTAGAAGTAATTAGTCTATTTAAAGCTTTTAACGACTTTAAGAATTTATAAATCAAAACAGTTCTGCTTAAGGAACTTCCATTTTTCCTTCTCAACAATGTAATCAACTCCTAGGGATTAATAGTTCTTACCATTAAAATTGTTGTATATTTCAAGTGTGTGCATTTCATCAGAAATCAGATTAACTTCCTGGATTTCTGCTGTTTTGGTTTGGCCACCCCTACACCATAAAACATAGCTCGCCTAGGTAGTCGGTGATTGAGCATACGGAACACATGTCCGAACCACCACAACAACAACAGCATTGCTTACTCGATGGTCCCAGGATCTTCCACATTTTAGGTGGTTGGGACATATAAGTATGTTATGTTCGTCACTAGGTACGCTTTCAGCTATTACGAGTTCACCTTAGTCGATAAACACGAACGAGACAATTACCAGCGTCCAGGTAGGCTACCTCGAATCCCAAGCTGTAAAACAGAAATCTTGGTAGGCGTAGAAAGTATATTCTACAAACACCCAGCAATCATAATACTATCAAGCACACAACTCTCGTTTATTTATACATCATAGAAACGTCCTTGGGCCAGTTACGAAAACTGCACACTAAAATACACAGCAGCCAATCACAGCCATGGATTTTCCTGATGGGAAATGAAATCACAAGGTCAACTGATCAGCCCATGCTGGCAAACGTGAAATCCAAGATAAGGTATTTATCAAACGAGTTCTGGAGATCTAACATCCCCAACAAAGTAATTTGTCTATATGAAGTTTTCAATGACCGTAAGAATTTATTAATTAAAACAGGTTTGATTAAGAAACTTCCATTTTTTACTGCTCAATAATAATAACCAACTCCTAGGGGTTATTAGTTCTTACCACTAAAATTGTTGTATATTTTTAAGTGTGTATATTCCATTATAAATCAGAGTAACTTTCAATCTTTATTATCAACTTCAAAAACTTACCAAATACTTCACGATGAGCTACTCTATTTGAATTCTGTCTAGGTTAACTGTTCCATTACTCAAAACTAGGGTTTATGAAGCTTCCTACAAACCTTCCGCCTGTTTAAATGAAATTTGAGTACACCTATTTCGAATCGACCGCTTCATTTTTTTTTGTAAATAAACAACTATTGATTTAAAGTATTTACGAACAAAATGTGTCTGCTTTTTTTCTTTCACACAGTAATTTACAGTGTGCATGTCCTAGGAGATCAAATCGTTCTGTTATAAAGAAAGACTCCTATTTTGATATATGCAATCCAATCCCTGGTAAGTGAAATTATGTGACTAAATGTAAATATGTCGAAAGATATATAAACATTTGTATACACTTATATATAGACAAACTGTTAAATTTCATTGAAACTAATGTCACATAATTCTCATGCATTTTATTCATGAGTGATTAGTGCATTTCCAAATTGATTTATTCCCCAAAAATCAAGACTCCCCTAACAAGATATCGATAAGTTCCGAAAAAAACATGAATGCTCTATTTTCATGAAATGTGCTATGATCTGTTAACATTATGAGGCGTTCAGCACGGACAGAGAAGGCTCGATTTGCTTTTGCCAACCTGCGTCACTTATGGCGTTGGCAAGATATCCGTTTGCTGACTAAAGGACGAGTGTACTGCGCAGTAGTTCGCTCCGTTCTACTATATGGGTGTGAAACATGGCCAGTGAGAGTAGAAGATGTTCGTAGGTTACTAGTATTCGATCATAGATGTTTAAGAAGCATTGCTCGTATATCGTGGGACAACCGAGTAAGCAATGCAGTTGTTAGAAAACGGGTGCTAGGTAAGAATGGAAGATCAATAGATGGAAGTGGTGAAACTTCATCAGTTGAGGTGGTTGGGACATGTCTTGCGTATGCCGAACCACCGATTGCCTCGACGAACTTTGTTTTGTAGTGTAGGGATAGGTTGGAAGAAAGTTAGGGGCGGCCAAAAACCAATACATGGCCGAAATCCATGAAGTCATTGACAAGTGGACTGAGTCATGTCGGTAGGTGTCGACTACCTGGTTGGGGTCCGCGAGATGATAATAATCAATGGTTAGAGACCCTGAATGACATGACTCAAAACCGTTTGAAATGACGCAGTTGCATTTATTCTTTGTGTTTTCTCAGATCCAAACCTTCTGGATTCTTCAACACCTCTAGTTTTGTCTTTGTAAACTTTTCTCACTGAATCATACTTCTTGAATCATATCTAATTCTAACCTCTCCGATTACTGCTAACACCTTTACTACCTCTACTACTATTGGATTTGAATTGACGATTACATCTCTGTGCTAATGTTGTATGGCAACATGAACTGTTGTACTTACGTACGAAGTTCTACGTTGCATCTGACTAACTGACTGATTATGAGGTGTAGTACAATATTAACTTGTGCTAAAGTCAAGTTGTTGGTATATGTGGATCAGAACTTATCTTTAGTACATTGACTGGTTGCATAAAAATATAAATTTTACTACAATCGGATTGGTCTATGATATAGTTAGAACACAATTAGAAATCTGGAAGCATTGAAAGACGGTCGTTTCTTCATGGTATGGGACTCATCAGTGACAGTGCACATTCACTACTCCTACTACTACCAGGAATCGAACCCAGAATCTTCGGTCTAAAGTACGAACGCTTAACCTTTGAACCACTGGTCAAGCCTCATCTAACAGTGTGAATGTCTAACTCTGTTCAATCCAGTGATTTGCTCCAATACAAAGTAACGTGAGCTCAGTCCAATAAAATCATCAGTTCAAGGTTATTATTGTATTTCAAGCACTCATTTATAAACATACAAACTTAGATCACACAGCAAACCAAGGGAAAATAACATTAATATTGGAGAAAAACGGAGTAATTGGTACACACAAATAATCTGCTTTAGTTTACAGTTGAAACTAAAGTAATCCGAAAATAATAAAATAGGGTTGTGGGAATTGTTGAATTTTATCGAAATGATGAATCGAGCAATGCTAGGCTACCATTTGGGACCTGGAACCATTGGATGGCCGTTTCGTTCTAGTATGGGACTTCTCAGCAGTGCGCATCCACATTAATACCACTAGATGTCAGCTCACCAGTCTAAGCTTTAGGCATTCACACACGAGACTGAAAGTCCTCGATCCGACTCTAGCTTGAAGGAGTTGTGGGGTTCGCGCTGCTGACGAGCCTCAGACTAGGAGGAAACGACCGACCAGTGCTTCCAGGTTCCAAATGGTGGTCTAAGATTGATCAATTCACGATTTCAATGAATATCACATTTTATGCAGTGGTTATAAAATAGATTTTAAAATGATTCAGACTCAATGCATTTTTGTATTTCAGTTGATATTGGCGAAGAATGTGATCATGTAAATAAAGTCTGCTTTAGTCAAAGAGCAATGTGTCTTCAAAATCCAGTTAATATATTTCCTAAATTGCATCAAACACAATTAACAACAAATCAATATTCCAATATATGTGTTTGCCATGAAGGTATGATACCGGTTTATCAAAACAATTTAGATTATTTTGAATGCTGTAAGTTAAATATTGTAAGATTTGAATTGAATGTTTAAAACAAATTTATTGATTTTGTTTGGATTTGTACCAATCATAATGTTTGAAACATTTGTGTAGTCAATATAAAAGATTTGTATAAAACAAATGTTTTTAATGTGCTTGCTTACTTACTTACTTACTTAGGCACTTACTTACTTACTTACTTACTTACTTACTTGCTTACTCACTTACTTACTTACTTACTTACCTACATACTTACTTACTTGCTTTTCTGCTTGCTGACTTACTTACTTACCTACATACTAAGTGACTTGCTTGCTTAATTACTTACTTACTCGCTTACTTACTAACCCACCTACTTACTTACTCACTTGCTTTTTTGCTTACTAACTTACTTACTTACCTACTTACTAAGTCACTTACTTACTTGCTTGCTTGCTTAGCTACTAACTTGCTTACTTACTCACCTAACTACTTATTTACTAACTTGCATTTTAGCTTGCTTACTTACTTACTTACTTACTCACTTACCTACTTACCAAGATAATTACTTGCTTGCTTGCTTACTTACTTACTTACCTACTTCATTACTTACTTACTTACTCACTTACCTACTTACGAAGTCCCTTACTTGCTTACTTGCTTTTTCGCTTACTTACTTACTAACCGACTTACCAAGATACTTACTTGCTTACCTACTTACTTACCTACTTACCAAGACACTTACTTGCTTACTTACTTACTTACTCGCTTACCTACTTACCAAGATACTTACTTGCTTACTTACTTACTTACTCATTTACTTACTTATTTGCTTACTTACTCACGTAACTACCTACTTACTAACTTGTTTTTTTGCTTACCTACTTACTTACCTACTTCGTTGCTTACTTACTTACTCACTTACCTGCTTACTTACTTACTTGCTTTTCTGCTTGCTGACTTACTTACTTACTCGCTTACTTACTAACCCACCTACTTACTTACTCACTTGCTTTTTTGCTTACTAACTTACTTACTTACCTACTTACTAAGTCACTTACTTAGTTGCTTGCTCGCTTACCTTCTTACTTACCTACCTACTCACCTACCTATTTACTAGGTCACTTACTCACTTGCTTACTTGCTTTTTTGCTTATTCACTTACTTACTCATTTACCTACTTACCAAGATACTTACTTGCTTACTTACTTACTTACTTATTTACTTACTTATTTGCTTACTTACTCACGTAACTACCTAATTACTAACTTTTTTTTTGCTTACCTACTTACTTACCTACTTCGTTGCTTACTTACTTACTCACTTACCTGCTTACTAAGTCACTTACTTAGTTGCTTGCTCGCTTACCTTCTTACTTACCTACCTACTCACCCACCTACTTACTTATTTGCTTGCTTACCTTCTTACTTACTTACTTACGGCTGTTACTCCCAGTGGAGCATAGGCCACCAACCACTGTTCTCCAACCTCCTCTGCCATCGACCTCCCTTTCCAGTTCTATCCAGTTGCTGTTCATTCTTCTTATGTCTGTCTCCGATTCTCGACGTTATGTGCTGTTTGGTCGTTTCCTTTTCCTCTTGCCTTCAGGATTCCAAGCAAGGGCTTGTGTCTTAGCACAGATTGGTGCTTTCCTCAATGTGTGTCCTATCCATCCCGAAAACCTATTCCTAATTTTTTTCCTCAACTGAAATCTGGTTTGTTCTCTCCTACATTAGGTTGTTGCTGATGGTATCTGTCCAACGGATCTATAGTATCTTGCGTAGACAACTGTTAATGAACACCTGTATCTTGTGGATGATGGTTTCCATAGTTCTCCAAGTTTCCGCTCCACAATTCGAAATGTGATTTGATAATGACGAACGTGATAACTTGAAGAGTATTGAACATTCCACTTATCCTCATAGGGAAAATCCTCAGTTATGCACGATAAGAATGAAACCTAGAATGTTCAGACGTAATCTTTAGACTATGAAGGTTGGCATCCATGTATTTTTAGTTTTTATGTTCTATCTTGGATTCTGTCTTGCTGTTCACACAACCAGACTACACAGGTGATGATCTTTTTACTAAGATTGTACAAAGTATTTTTTTTCCGAAATCGAATGAGAACATGATCAGTGATTAATCACAGTTTAACTTAAACTGCTTGACTGTTGATAATCGGTGAGTGTGAAGTAGCTAGTTCTTTCTTAAATGACAATCGATCAACAGTGAACAACTATCCAATTACTTTTGACAAAACAATAATACGATACTAACTGGTACTCTAAGATTAAACGCTGAGTAATATTCAGCATCGTTGTGCCTTCATTGTTTTTTGATGAGAATGTGTTAGGATATTCATCCAATATCCTAGGAGAATTATTGGTCAATTCCTATTGGTTGATTCCTACTGGTCAATTTGGTGGTTGTCCTAGATATCAATGTCACGTGCTCCAATGTGGATTGTTATTGGTTGTCCTGACTATCAATGCCACTTGCTTCCTATTGGTCATCTTAACTATCAATGTCACAGACTTCGATGCTGTTTCCTGTTCGATCAAAATGTATAAATACACATTATCTGTAACGTTTTATGACCAGGACCTGAGCTCGGTCCCGGATCCCTATTCCGGGATCCTAATTCTCTTCTGGATTCGGACCTCGTACTTTCTGGATGCTGGTAGAATACAGGTTCTACTTCATATCACATCTTATTTTTACTCAATATGGGGGTTGGAATAATTGGGTTTGAGTAGTATGTCGTGTCGCCGGATCCTCAATTATCGCTCTCGTTTTCCGACCAGGTAAACTCGTAAGAGTTCAAGTATATCAAGTTGACGTGTTTATGTGCAGGCGTAACAGAATGCTACATAAAGTTAGTACGTCAACAAGGATTCACAGTGTCCTATTTGATGTTTAATCTTTGTACAAATGTCATTGTTTCTAGTCAGATGAAAGAAGTTATATCAACAGATGTTTTGGGAATTTACATGTTCCTTCTACCAGGTTACATGAAGGTGTAGTTAGAATCAGCTGTGTTAACTGACTTATCATGGAGAATTATAAGCTTATATGTAAGTTTCACAATGAAATCTTGAATCAATCATTGTCAGACCACCATCAGAAACCTGTAGGCACCGGACGGTCGTTTCGTCCTGGTATGGCACTCATCAGGGGGATCGAGCGCAGGACCTTCGGTCTCGTACGCAAAAGCTTAACCTTTAGACTAGTGAGCCGGAATTCGCCGCTGACTAGTGGATGTCCATCCTGTCTGGTATACGGAGTTTCTTGCCAAAGACAATGGAAGAGGTTGCACAGTACCTTAGATCTATCAAAGTTAGACATTAACACCGTTGGATGCCAGCCCAGTAATTTATATGTTAAGCGTTCGCGCGCAAGACCAGAAGTGCTGGGTTCTAATTCTGTGAGTAGCAGTAGTCACGTTTGCTCACTACTAAATAGTCCTACCCTAGGATGAAACAGATGTCCGGTGCTTCCAGGTTTCTAATAGTGGTCTAACAATGAGTGGTTTACGGTTTCAATGTAAAGGAACATTTTGTCCAACTGTATGACAAAAGATTTGATGCACGTATCGCATCAATCACAGGGTCTAACTTCTTAATTTTCATTACAAATATTTGTGGAAACTAAAATCAACCTCGGGATTGGTGAAAACTAGAGAATACTGAATGTCTTGTACGTTGAAGAAATAATTTCTTCAAGCAATCGAATAAAAAACTCGAATATCTCATGAAGAGCTCCTAATCTTCAGATTATTTAGTCGGAATCTAGTAGTTCCGATGTCAAACTTTAATCCATTCACGATATTCCACGAATGTCATCGATCGGCATTGGCGATACTTTTCTGACTCCTGACACAGTTGAACGTCACTGATTGTAGGTTCTAACTTCAGTTCCTAGAATTATTTCTAGAAGTTGGTTATAAGCTGTCAACGTATTTTATTTTTCTTACCTCAACTATCAGTTCACCTCTGTCTTCCTTCTATCAACTGGTACTTCTCCTCATTATTTGTATTGAGGTAATCTATTTCATTGTGACTATTGACTCAAATTGCATTGATTGGTTTAACATTTTCATATAAATATTCATAGGTATTACAGAGTAGAGCCTGATGACGATCTAATTGAAAACAACAATATTGTTCACTTATTTATTGTGTTATTCTAACTTTCAAAATGAGAATTTTTAATAGAGGTTAGGCCTTCGCGCACAAGACCGACGGTCCTGGGCTCGAATCCTTCTGGGTGCAGGAGTTGTGGATGCGCACTGTCACTGATGAGTCCCATATCAGGACGAAACGGCCGTCAAGTGCTTCCAGGTACCTAATGGTGGTTTCAAAAATGTGTAACTTAACAATCTTCACATCCCCATAATGCTAATAAAGTATTTATCACTATAGAATTATGAAAACTGCTGCGTTTTATTGGGATCATGAATCAGCCATTGTGTTGTGGATGTTAGATCCCCCAGAAATCGCTTAATCAATATCTTTATTTTAGATTTATTTCATGGACCGGTCAGTTGACCTTGAGAACATATTTCCCACCAAGAAATTCCCTGACTGTGATTGGTTACTGTGTCATTTTAGTGTGCTATTTCTGTGACTGTACCAAGGATGTCTCTATAGAGTATAAATAAAAGCGATTCGAGTCCTTAGATTCATTTTGTGCTTGCTGGGTGTTTGTAGAATACAATTTCTACGCTATATCAAAACCTGTCGCTGATTCAATTTGGTCAAGGGACCCCAGTAGCCTACCTGTTCTCATTATTCGACTAAGGTGAACTCGTAGTAAATGAAGCGTACCTAGAGACGAAAGTAACACATTGTTAGATTCCTGCTAGCAGCGGGAGTCATGGTGGATGCACCCTGCCATTGATGTAGTCTCATACCATGGCGAAACGGCAGTTCATAAACTTTAAGTTAGTATTGGTGGTTCAACTTTTGTAACTCAGATGGACTGATTGTAGTAGTATATATTACTTGTAAAACGTTTAATTGTTTCATGAACATAAAACAGAACAGTAGTAGCTACAATGAACCTTCTACAAAGCTGTATAACTAACTGAAGCTTACACTATTCAATTTTATTTCAACTGTCAAAGCGAAACTATAAAACAATCACTGAGACTGATCAATGGTAAAATATCCTTATCTCCTTTCTGTTCAATTATCAATTTGTTTAAATTTCATAAGAAAATCCTTAAAATGATTTCTTAATCACATATATTTAAAATGATATTTATTTATCTACTGATAGATTTACAATAATTCAAATTGAATAAAAAAACCAGTCATTTAAAATTCAAGGTTATTCATTGTTTCAATATCATTCAACTTTTGAAACTAACAAGTTGTATGATGATTCTTTGTTCTTGTCAATATTTTTCAGTCATTATTCATAGATGGTGTGTGTGTGTATTTATATAATTTTCTGAAATGTGGTTCTTCAATTCTATTGTTTTTCAGCTTAACACATTTGTTTTTTTCTACCTTATTTCGACACTTACTACTCGATGCCATAATAAATAGTAGTTTTAATATAAAAATTAGTCTAAAATTAATTTGTTTAAATTATTTTCCTTGAAAAAAAATAAGGAACTAGATTTAATCAAGTTTGAAAAAAAACGAGGTGTATCAGTAACTTCTTCATATGTGTATAGTATATGCACACTGAAGCAAAGAAGCATGAGACAAGTGTGTGTCTGTAAATCGATATACATTCGCTTTCTAAGCCATTTTTTTTTATTATGTGAAAATTGACATTGCTCAATAGAAAATTTTGATGGATTGATTATTTATTAGCTGGTTGTGGAAAGTAATTATTGTTTAAGTTTCAATTTCTGTTGGTTTTAATGGGAAATTTAATTCTCTTACACTGTTATTAACATCACTCACTTACTTTACTTACTTACTTACTTACTCACCAACTTACTTATTAGCTTGCCTACTTACTTACTTACTTACTTACTCACCAACTTACTTACTTACTTACTTACTTACTTACTTACTTACCTAATCACTTACTTACCTACTTGTTTACTTACTTACTTACTTGCTTGCTTACTTACTTACTTGCTTGCTTACATACTTACTTGCTTACTTACCAGCTTACCTACTTACTTACTTACTCACCAACTTACTTACTAGCTTAGCATTTTACTTACTTACTTACTAGCTTACCTAGTTACTTAGTTACTTACTTGCTTACATACTTACTTACGCCTGCTTCCCCTAATGCAGCAGTATAGGCTGGAAAAGCATAAGATGAACGATATTGCAGATGGTGAACGATTTGAAATCAATTTGAAATTCTTCAAAACTGTACATCACTTCAGAATAAACATATCATGATAATTGTTATAACTTACATGACGTGTCATAGTGCACTACTCTAATTACTCAGATAAGGAATACTGCTACTACTACTACTACTACTACTGTAGTGAACGAGAACACTGGTGGGGCAACCGAATTGTATTTAACGAAAATTACAGAGTTACTCAGTAAAATCGGAAAACCATATCGTAAATCGTTAATTTGCAAAATATCAGTTCATCATATCAAACTGGACTGTTCCTGTTGCAAAACATCAATCCATTGTCACTCACTGTTCATGCGTTTCATACAAATTCCATTGTGTTCCAACTCTTCCTTTCTTGATCTTCCCCCATCTTTTGCTGCCAGACATTACGTTGACACTCGCGTCATATACTACTTATAAGTAGCGCGCACCACATTCGTCCCCCCTTTTAATAAGCTGTCATCACTTTCAAAACAGGGACCCTGGTCAGTTAATATCACCTTCCGTATTCCGTGATACGCTACAATATGCGGAATTACCACTTCGGTCATTGTTCTTGCCCGCTGGTCTGGAATGGATACGGCATCTATCCAACGTGTAGCGTTTACTAGTTCCCGCTGCTGGGACACGGCGGCAGGCACACTCTCGATAAATTGTCTGACGTTTCACTATTCACGCGTTTCATACAAATTCCACTGTGTTCTAAATCTTCCTTTCTTGATCTTCCCCCATCTTCTGCAGCCAGACATTACGTTGACACTCACGTCATCTACTACTTATAAGTAGCGCGCACCACACTACTACTACTACTACTATTGGTACTACCACTACGAGATGACTTTTGTGTTCAATCATTTCAAACCCTTTTAGTTTTATAAACAGTATACTAGCCAAATTATTTCAATGGTATAAAATACAAACCTTGTCTGAATCAATGATGTTGTACATTGTTGAATTGTTTTAAGTTAACAGAAGATTTTCTTATGATGATTGATAATAATTAAAAACATGAAAACGAACGTGTTAGTAATAATCCAATTCGCTAAGAAAAGTAAACGCTAACCGAAAAAAAATAATTCACTAGTCAGTGGTCTACACTCCATTAGAGGCAACCAAAAACAATGCTCAATATCATAGATGGTTGAAGGTAGACATTAACACCGCTGGCTACTGCCAGACCAGTGGTGTCGAGAGTAAGCGATCACGCGGGAAATCGAAGCTCCCGGGTTCGATTCCTGCTTGCGGGTGTCGTGGATGTACACTACAACTGAGTCCCATACTAGAACGAAATGGCCATCCAGTGCGTCCAGTTATCTAACAGGGATCACTTTATCACCGCACTAAATATAAACACAGTTTATTATTTTGAGGCACAGTTTTTGAGGTTTGTGTTTTTACACATTTGAAATCATCAACTAATCATTGTTAGACCACTATTAGAAACCTGGAAGCACTTGACGGCCGTTTCGTCCTGGTATGTTCCTAGATCAATCAGAGTTAGACATTAACACCGTTAGAATCCTACTCAGTGGTCCGATGGTAAGGCCTTTTGCCTACAATGCCAAAGGTCCCGGGGTTCGAATCCTGCGAGGAGCAGGAGTCGTGGATGCGCACTGCCACTGATGAGTCCCATACCAGGACGAAACGGCCGTCCAGTGCTTCCAGGTTTCCAGTGGTGGTCTGACAGTTGATTATAGTGATTTCAATTACCATTCATCTTATTATCTACAAATAATTAATAATAAAAATAATTTTCCAATAATTTATTATTTATTAATTCTCTTTTATTATCATTGTTATTATTTTTTCTTCTTAAAAAAAAATTAAAAAGTTATCGAAGAAACTGATCCAACTATTACTCAATGTCAACCTTGTTATCAATCACATGCAAGATGTTATCAACTTCTAATTGGTTCATCTGAAAAAAATGCTAGCAAAATAAAATATCGTTGTTCATGTTCATTATTATTTAAACAAAATACATTTAATCCAACTAGAGAAGTAGATAAATATCAATGTCCTCAAAAATTCTGTTCATATCATCATTCAACAATGATGAATGGTAGTGTCATGCCTAGAATTGATCATTATCAACAACCTAATCAGCTTTCAAGGTCGAGTACAACAAACAAAGAGAATTGTATAGAATATTCAGGTAAGTTTTTTTTTGTGTTGAATATTCAATGGAATAATTGAACATTGAATGATGCGTAAATCGTTTCTGCTTTGACAATAAAGTTTACCAGCTTAATTAGTAGGCATAAACTACGTACGCATCAAAATCAAATCACTAGAAGAATGTATGTATGTATTATGCAAATATCTTTTTGATTAAGTCAAACATTCATGTGGTGAAAATAGTTTTTTTTCTGTTTCTTTTAAGTGATTTGTTTATTGTGGTGGTGATTGGTCCTCTGAGCTGGTTGTTTTGGTTGTGTGGAGCTTTCATTGTTCTACTTCTGAACAATGAACATCATCGTTAGCACAAACTTCAGATAGACGAGGTGAAGTATTCGAATTTCTCCACGTGTTTGGCCTGTAGCTTGTTCTGCTAACCTCGATCTTGATTGGTTGTTGTTGACTTTTGACCTGTCGTTGTTTGCAGCTTTGTTTTGATTGCACCGCCCTTTTGATCTGTTTATTGATCCTATGTCACCTATGATTTTTCTGATTGGTTGATAAATTGAGTCAATGTCGATGTGTTTGTTGATTGCTGATTGATTGACCTGAGTGTGCCAAGCTTCCAAAAATTCTCTAGTGTTCTTTTTCCTCCCCCTACCCAATATTTCCATATTGTTCGAATCAAATGTGTGTCCATAATTGTCGGTATGTATTGATATAAGCGAAGCGTTGTCGTAGCGTTTGACTGCTAATTGATGTTCACGTAAACGGAGCTGAGGAGTTCGTCCACTTTGTCCTATGTGTAGTGTTTTTCACAGTTTGAGCAATTTATTTTGTAGATGATATTTGGTTTTTCTTCCTTTGTCATTTTTTCCTTTGGTCTACACATAGGATTGATTGAAGTGATTCTGTTGGTTTGTGTGCCACACACCTATTCCAAATGGTTTTGAGTAATCGTGCTGTATGCTCCGAAATGTGTTTTATGGATGGTAGGATGATGCGTTTATTTGTTTCTGTGCTTGATTTCGCTCCTGATGATGGTTTCGGTTGATGTATTTTGATGAAGTTGCATGGATAGCCGTTCTTTTGGAAGATAGTCATCAGATGTTTTTCCTCGTTTTTTAATGCTTCGTTTGTGCTGTTTATATTGATAGCAACACTTGGACATAGTTATTGTGTCTGCAGAAACCTCTCAGTAAGACGTATCTATTAGATTAGGAAAATAGATATTGACTATGGAATTTTTACTAAGCTTGCCTCATGTTCCACACATAGATATGACTTCATTTGCATTGACATGGTGCGTAAATGAGATTTTGTAATGTAGACTATTATAGTAAAGCTTTCGTTATTGTTACCTACTACTAGGGAACATTGTCTGAATGAACCTCGTTACCGATTAGGTTGGTAAAATGTAGTCTGCAAAGCTACTTACTGGAAATCACTCATATATGTACATCTTTTCAGATGTAGTCGACTTATATGTTGAAAAAACCATGAAGGTTAAAGTATAATAGCATACTATATAAACTATTTCGTTGAAACTAAAGTCTAATAGAGCAACATACGAAGAAAAAATTAATGAAATTCACATAAAAACATACAGTTGAGATATTCTTAACGATAAACGACATCAGTTGTTAATTTCATTCAATGAAGCGCAATCAATTAGGTAAAAATACAATTTGTCTCTTAAAACACTAATCTTTAGTTTATATAATTATATTACTCATTAGTAGCTTGACTAATATATTTAAAAATCTCCAAAAACATACTATTTCATGTACTATGACTAGCTCCGTGAGGAATCTTCTCCGAGTTCTAGTAGGAAGTCGTGACCACTGAAGTCCAACCCTGTTCCTGTGTGAACCATTGCTCACTGAAGACAGTGGATGAGGTCGTAGAAGACCGTAGATTGACTGAAGTTGGACATTAACACCGCTATATACCAAACAACTCAGTGGTCCACATGTTAGGCGTTCGCATGCATGGACGAAGGTCCTGCGAGGTGCAGGAGTCGTGGATGCGCACTAACACTGATGAGTCGGACACTAGGACGAAACGGCCGACTTTCGGTGCTTCCATGTTTCTAATAATAGTCTAGCACTGATCGATTCATGACTTCATTGAGTAACTTAACAATCTCCACAACCCTATAATACGATCATTCTTTCCAATTCATTATCAATTAATCTTTATTCATAGGAATCTTAACTAATAAAAATTTTTATTTAATAATTACAGGATAAATGTTTCATTAATAACTTTCATTTTGTCAATAAATGTGGAGTTTAACTTCAAAACTTACCAACGTAATCAAACATCGATAAAATGTGCACTACATGAAACAAAACTATGAATTTAATTGAATGTCAAACAGTTTAGGTTAATGAATTAAATATGAAGATTATAGAATTTTAACCATATTCAATGATAAGATTATAAAACCAATGTACCTGCTTGGTTAGCTTATCATTTTGTATAGCATAAATAGTAATGAGTCAGTCAGTGTTAGACCACTATTAGCTGAAACCTGTAAGCACTGAACAGCCGTTTCGTCCTATAGTATGGGACTCATCACTAGTGTGTGTTCACGACCTACATTCGCAGGACCTTCGGTCTAGCACGTAAACTCTTAACCTCTCGATCGTCATCCAACGGTGTTGATGTCCAGCTTTGCATAAATCTAAACTTTTTCCCAACCTCATCCAACATCTTCGATAGGTAGGTAACTGCCTACACCTGATAGAGTTCAACTCCACTGATCACAGCTTATGTAATCAATGAATAAATATTTAACTCAACAGTCTTCACAACCCCGTAATGCACTCATGTGTGTTCACTAGTGACTAGCTCCGTGAGGAATCTTCCCCCAGTTCTAGTGGTAAGGCGTGACCAGTGAAGTTCAACTTGTTCGAGTTTAGACAGTTGTAGTGTGTCGATTTACTGAGTGTTCTTAAGCTCGGTAATTAACTCGTTCAGACAATCGTTGCCAAATAGCGTCTGACCGTTTATAAATCAGAAGATGAATTCGTAGTGATGAATACGTTTATTCAGGACACACCACAAAGCGAAGCGGAGAAGCAGTGAATAAAACGAATGAAGCGACGTGAACTGGAGAAGGCTTTTGAGCCAACTCCATGGGTTACAATGCGAACGAATGGGCGAAGCGAATTGGAAAAGGCTAAGAGCCAACTCGAAGAGATAGAACATGACTAAGAATATATAGCCAGACAAAAATAAGACAGATATATGACAAGCGAAATAGGCATGCACAGACATGAATGAAAGCGACGAATGACTGACAAGATCAAAAGCAAACGAGACAAGTCATGTGAGTTCATAGGGATATTAAGAGATTAACATTAAAGCGAGAAGGATGAGTCAGCGCGTAGGCGTAAGCAATGCTCAGTCGTACAAGCTCACACAAACCAGACAATGAAAAATACCAATGGTACATATGGGTTGTTGCTATACAAATAGCGTGGTTACATAAGTTAATCGAAATTAGACATTAACACTGTTAGATATAGGCTCAGTGGTCCAGAGGTTAGGCGTTCGCGAATCCTGCGTGGTGCAAGAGTCGTGGATGCGCACTGCCACTGATAAGTCCCATAGCAGGACCAAACGGCCGTCTAAACAGTGCTTCCAGGTTTCTAATGGTTGTGGTCTAACATTGATCGATTCATGGTTTCAAAAATGTGTAATGAATTATTTATTGAAAATAAAAAAACAAATTATAACTACTTATTCAATTGATTTATATCTAAACAAACACAATTGTGATTTGATTTTACTTGAACAAACTTTATATTGAAAATTGAATATGACTATGTTCGTTTGGGTGTACATAATTACTGGCTATTATATTTTTAGAGTGTTTCTGACATATATTTGAGTGTGTTTAAAGTTCAAATTTAGTAAAGCCCTTTAATTAACTGATTGATTAGATAAGAGTCATTTGAATTATTGATTTGCGCTAATATTATTGTGACGTTTGTATAAGTATGTATGCTTGAACATTGTCTACAACCTAAGCATTTATTCATTTGACTAGCTTCAATGTTAGTTGCTTAAAAAATGCAGTGATTCGCGTATTCATTGGCTTTTCGTCATTCGCATAAGTCACTCATGCACGTAAACATGTTATTTGATATGCTTGAAACTATTACGAGTTTAGTTTAGTCGGAAAACGAGAGCGAAGATTGAGGATCCTGCGACACGACAGGCTATTCTAATCCGATTGTCTCAAAACCCCCATTGAGTAAAAGAAGAAGACTTGATATGAAGTGGAACATGTATTCTACAAGGATACAGAATGCACGAGGTCCTAGTCCAGAAGACAATCAGGATCCCTGACTAGGGATCCAGGTCCGGGTCATAAAACCTTACAAATAACGCGTATTTATACAATTAGGTCGAATAGGAAACAACATTGGAGTCTGTGACATTGATAGTTAGAACGACCAATCGAAATTGACCAATGCAATCAGACTTACAAACAATTCTCTTAGGATATTGGATGAAAATCCTAACAGTATATCATTTCACTTTTGCTTTGTATTGCGCCAGCAATGCTTCGTATCGTCTTCAAAAAATTGTATACACCATTCGATGTTATCTAGTAACGATTATCAAAATGAAAATGATACAAAGTCTAGGAATAATATCGAATATAAACCGTTAAAATCTCCTCAATAATTACTTACTTACTTACTTACGCCTGTTACCCCCAATGGAGCATAGGCCGCTCACCAGTTTTCTCCAACCAACTCTGTCATGGGCTTCCCTCTCCAGTTCTGTCCAATGTTTGTTCATTCCTCTCATATCTTTCTCTATTTCTCGACGTAATGTGTTCTTTGACCTTCCTCTTTTCCTTTTGCTCTGAGGGTTCCATGTGGGGGCTTGTCTCGTGATGCAATTAGGTGCTTTCCGCAATGTGTGTCCTATCCACTTCCATCGCTTCTTCCTGATTTCCTCCTTCACTGGAATCTGGTTTGTTCTCTCTCACAGTACGTTGTTGCTGATGGTGTCTGGCCAAAGAATCCGAAGTATTTTGCGAAGACAGCTGTTAATAAACACTTGTGTCTTCTGGATGATGCCTTTCGTAGTTCTCCATGTTTCCGCTCCATACAGTAGAACTGTCTTGACATTTGTATTGAAAATCCTGACTGTGGTTTTGTTTGAAAGTTGTTTGGAGTCCCAGATATTTTTCAACTGTAGAAATGCAGCCCTTGCTTTGCCAATCCGCGCTCTCACATCTGCATACGATCCACCTTTCTCTTCGATGATGCTGTCCAGATATGTAAAGGTGTTAACGTCCTCCAGGGCATCTCCATCAAGAATGATTTGGTTGGTGCATGTTGTGTTGCATCGGAGAATTTTGCTTTTTCCTTTATGTATGTTGAGATCTACTGCCGCAGAGGCTGCTGCTACACTGGTCGTCTTCTCTTGCATTTGTTGTTGCGTGTGAGATAGAAGAGCCAGGTCATCTGCGAAGTCCAGATCGTCCAGCTGCGTCCTAAATGTCGAGTTGATACCGTGCTTCACTCCAGATGTCGACGTCTTCATAATCCTCAATAATTACATTCTCTTTAATTATTCTTATCACTGTGCATTTCCATACTATATAACAATAAGAACTGTCTCAGATTAAAAACCTTATCAAATAAAATTATCGTTGAGATTAATATTTATTTTAGAAATTCGAAGCATTTATATAAAAGGGTTATTTGGATAATGATAGGATATTTGAATAACCAAACTTTTGAACAATTCGAAGCGATATTATAAATAACAAAAGTCATTGTAGGATAATAAACAAATGTCCGGTTGACGGAAGAACCGAGGACGGTGGGTAACAAAAAAGATCCATCTTGTCGGATAGTTGAAAACCTTAATTTCAAGCTAGTAGAGCACATGGGATCCAAGATCCAGATGGAAAGAATAGCGTATGAACCAACCACCATAGGACTTTATCTCTCTATACGTTGCTTCACTAACTTATCGAGTGGACATGTAAGTCAAAGGGTCATAGGGTGGCCTTCTAACGGAAAATACCTGCTTTAGTTACGGTACCCCGTCAGTATCCCAAATCATAACATAAAGTCAATGAATTGTGTGACACAAATATTTAAGTTACCCCTTTTTTACCCATAATTATGTGTTTAAATTATAATAATAATAATCATAGAAAATGAGATTGAACAAATGTATTGCTGCAAACGTTGCAGTATATCCAATTAGAGTTATGGAGATTAGTGTTTTCCTACATTTGAAATCATCAATCAATTATTGTTAGACCACCATCATTAGAAACCTGGAAGCACTGTCTAGACGGCCGTTTCTTCCTGATACGGGACCAATCAACAGAACGCGTCCACGACTTCTGCATCTCGCAGGATTCGGACCCAGGTCCTTCAGTATTGTGCGCGAACGCCTAACTTCTGGACAACTGAGCCGGCCGGCATCCAACGGTGTTAATGTCTATGATCAATCTAAGGATTTTGCGTAACCTCATCTATTTGTCTTCGGTAATTACTACATATACCGCACGGGGTTGAACTACACTGGTCACATCTTCTCAATAGAGCCCGAAGAATTTCCTTACGAAGCTAGTCACTAGCGAGTACATTGTACGATTTTTTCATCTCGACTTATGAAGATTATGTGTCTATTAATTTGTAAATAAACTTTCCTGATCATCATACTTTGAGTACTTATATTCTTTTTAAAAATCTTTTACCTTTATTAGTACAGATTACATGTAATCAAGAAATGATCAATATTTGTTTTAAATTATTACTTCATCCAAATCGAATGATTAGAAATGTACACAAAATAGAAAATCTTATAATTTATTTAGAAACATCTACAATTGAAAATGAATTCAACTATGCTATTATGCATGACAAATTGAAACTAATTCAACAGTGTTATTTAACGCATCAAAATCATCATCATGATGGTGAGTATTGTTCAATGTTCAATCTTAGAATGAATACATTCAAACAATGTGGAATTTATGAAATAAGTTATAAGGTTAGTAAGAATATTTTGTAATTATTTCATATTAACAATAACAAACTGATGTAAGTTAGACCACCACTGATGAGCTTTGTATGTCTGTATGGTCCTAGTATGAGACTCCTTAGAATGGTGTATCCACAAACTTTGCATACAGCAATCTAACTAGAAACCTCCCCAGTCTCGCAGACGAACGCTGAACCCCTTAAAGCATTGCTATGCATACGCTGGCGTTCGTGTTTCCCTTCGATCAATCCATGATGTTGTTATACCTTCATTCATTGCCTACAACAGGTAACTGTCACCTACGGGAAAACGGATCAAAAAATCCACTGTCCACTACTCAGTCAAATGTTTGCGCACGATTTTAAAAGACTGGGAATAAATTACCCAGAACAGGGGACAAGGACACTGCTTAAAGAGTATCATATTACGACGAAACGGCTTTCCAGTGCATACAGAATTTCCTTGCGGTATAAGTTAACGGATTTCAACATTTACTAAACAGATTAACGCAGTTTACAAAACCCACTTCATCACTAAACAACATTTTTGCTAAGATCATTTACATATTCATTTTACTACGCATCAGGAGATAAAAGTAGAAAAAAATATGCTTCGAAACAGAAAATTTTATTAAAGAAAAGTCAGAAAAATGCATGAATTAAAGCCGACTCCTCGACCGGGAATCCAACCCGGGCCTTCCACGTGACAGGCGGAGATACTCACCACTATACTATCGAGGAGCACGCACCCTACTCCACACGCATCACACTCAAAACTAAACTAAACTAAACAAAACTCACTCAACAGCACAATTTATTCTTCATCATCATCATCATCATCACCGATCGATCACACACACACACACACACACACTCAACTACAACTCACATACAACCAGCCAAACACAACGTCGCATCTCACGCTCATCAACTTGGTCATTACTCACATACACAATAATTGCCTGGCCGGCAAACTCTACTGATCATCACCTGCCATAATCAATCGCACATCAGATAGACACACTTGAACAGACAGACCATCATATCATCAGCTATGTGAACTCATCTCTCCCGCCCGATCCCCTGTGTCAACACTAAATGCTTGTTGTGTTGTGTTGTGTTGTTGTCTGTGTCTGTCTGTCAACCGTCGTTGACTAATATCGTGTGACACAGACAAAACACCGATCACCATACGCACCAATATGCACTAATCATATCCTTTAGTCAGCAGCAGCTAACTTCTTTCTTATCCGTGCCAAATTGCCACCCTGTCCTACTGGTCCAGTTCACAAATCCCTAGTCACCACTACACTCCATCAATCAGTATATTTTATGAGGACACAGTTTGTACACAGAATAATTTATAATAATACAGTGTGAGAATATGTATGTTGCATAACCACGGAAAAGCTAGCTGGTCGTGGCAGTCGCCATTTCTCTAATTGATTTTCCGCATATAACAATGCTCGTCGATTGCCAGTGGAGTTTCACGTGCCCACACAACACTTGACTGGTTGACCGATGTGCGTTGATTTGCAAATCACACGATTCATTGTGCGTATTATGTATGCTAGACCGACCAACCGAGCGAACGAGTGAGCGAGCGATGAATGCATGGATGGAAGGAGTGACTACTCACTGACGACTAGCCATCTTGTAGCATGTTTCTAAGCTTGATTGATCGATCGGTTGACTGACCGACTGACTGTTTGACTGACTGGCTGACTGACTAATCGAATAGATGATTGATTGCATGCAATGGTGATGATGCGATCGATGGTCTTGTGTGTTACTGAATGAGGACAGACACTAGTGTGTTGGTAGAATGTGTTGAGACGAGACAGTGTGTAAATTGATATGTGGTTGATATGTGAGTGAGTGGACGAGATGTAGGCGGATTGTTGTAGTGAGGAGTGAATGGTGATTGGTGGATAGAGTGTTGTGTGTGGCGGCGAGATCGGCCTCCATAGCTCAGTGGTCAGAGCACTGGTCTTGTAAACCAGGGGTCGGGAGTTCGATCCTCCCTGGGGGCAACGGCTGCGAGCAGCAACGCCTTTTCAACGCTCGTCACGCCATAACACCACACTACAACACCACCACACCCTAACACACACCAACTGCATCAACCACACTCAACAAAACTCACCCGCACTTACACAAACACAGCACAGTCAGTCACTTCAGCACACAATCATCAATCATACATCCTGTCAGCCTACTACACCAACACCACACACACTCACACACAGCCACAACCACATCCACATGCCTACACTTCTCTCATTCGCGTTCACGCTCATCTTCTTGACCACTCGGCTAGCATCCCCCGATTTGTGTGTCTAACGGTAATCAGTCTAGGTATTTCGTGAGATCTCACTCATTTACTTCGTTTGTTACTTCCTATAGCCGATATTGTTGATCTCTAATGGTCACATCTTCTAACAGAGACTCCGAGTATTGCCTCACGATGCTAATCCCTAGTAAGTATTCTATTCATCATTTGTGATATTAGGACTGTAAATGCTTTTAAAACCCGAGATATGATTCAATTTCATCTTGTTTTCATTGAACCACCTTTAGAAGCTTGATAGTTGGTTGTACCATGATAATATTCGATAAATGTTCGGAGATTCCCATCAATTTGTTGTTTGTTTTGACATTTCAACGTGATTAAACATGGATGTTGTGCTTGTTGTAATCCGCTTCAAAATGTAGATTTTATGACTGTTGGACACTGGTTAACTAGTTGTAAAGTATGATTCAAATGACAGTCATTGTGGTACAATTGTTGTGAAGGAGAACACAAGTGGGGCAACCGGACTGTTACTCAGTAAAATCTGAAAACCATATCGTAAATCGTTAGTTAATTTGCAAAATATCAGTCCATCATATCGAACTGGACTGTTCCTGTTGCAAAACATCAATCCATTGTCACTCACTGTTCATGCGTTTCATACAAATTCCATTGTGTTCTTGTAACTCTTCCTTTCTTGATCTTCCCCCATCTTCTGCTGCCAGACATTACGTTGACACTCACGTCATATACTACTTATAAGTAGCTCACACCACACAATAATTGATTGACGGATCATTGAATATTGAACAGTTGAATAATGAACAGGCATGACATTGAATAAAAAGTGAGTATTGATCATTGAACACACCTAATAATCTGAATTTGTCTTCTCACTACTATTTTTCTTTTTACAGTATGGATCTGTATTTCATGGTACATTACACGCTGGAATCATGAAGAATGAAGCTGTATTAATGAGAAAAATTCACATTGATTTTGCATGCCATGTTAATACTTCTTACTCGAATGAATTGAACCAGTCTGTTTCATACTTTTATGACAGGTATGTATAAATTAGTATGTGTGTGCATACAGGCAAGATTTCATAAAAATATAATGTTTGTGTTTATTGGATGACTTGAATTAATAAATATTTATATTACTCGTGGTACTTACTTATGAGTAGTATGTAACAATAAATATTTACTTCATTTGATTCTCATCAGCTGAGTAAAAATCTGTCGACCAGAGTATTATTTTCCTGGTTAGAGCTGGGTTTCTTTAGCGAGTTGGGTTTCTATGGCATAGGGGCGCTAACCTTATGCCCAAGCCTCCTTCCACTATCCGGGCTTAGGACCAGCAGTTATTAGTACAACATACTTACTTATTTAAGCCTGTTACCCCCAATGGAGCATAGGCTGCCCACCAGTTTTCTCCAACCAACTCTGTCCTGGACTTCCCTTACCAGTTCTGTCCAGTTTTTGTTCATTCTTCCCATGTCTTTCTCTATTTCTCGGTGTAATATGTTCCTTGGCCTTCCTCTTTTCCTTTGACCTTGAGCGTACTTGACCTCTTGAAGATAATAAAGGGAAATGCCTGTATGTTATAGGGAGTAGTCCAAACTATAATGAATGATTTCTTCACTCTATTTACCAAAGATAGCTTGAATTCCTTTTTTACTGAAATCATGAACTGGTCAATGTTAGAACACCATTAGAATCCTGGAACCGCTGGAAGGCCATTTCATCCTGATATTTTACTGATCAGCAGTGCATATCCTCGGCACTTGTACCTGACAGGATTCGAGGTTTCTAATGGTGGTCTAACAGTGGTGGGTTTATGATTTCAGTAGTCAAATCAGTGGTCCACAGGTTAGGACTTCGTGCTCAAGATCATAGGTCTGTTAGGATATTCATCCAATATCCTAGGACAATTATTGGTCGATTCCTATCAGTTAATTTCTACTGGTCAATTTTATGATCGTCCTGCATATCAATGTCACGTGATCCAATGTTGTTTCTTATTGGTTGTCCTGACTATGAATGTCACTTCAAATGTTGCTTCTTATTAGTCGTCTTAACTGTTAATGTCACAGACTTCGATGATGTTTCCTATTCGACCAAAATGTATTAATACGCATTATTTGTAACGTTTTATAACCACCACTAGGACCAGGGCTCGGTCCCGGATCCCTATTCCGGTATCCTGATTCTCTTCTGGACTCAGACCTTGTACTTTCTGGATGCTTGTAGAATACAGGTTCTACTTCACATTCAAGTCTTCTTATTTTTATTCGATGAGGGTTGGGATAATCGGATTTGAAAAGCATGTCATGTCGCCGGATCGTCGATCCTCGCTCTCGTTTTCCGGCTAGATAACCTGGTAATAGTTCAAGCATATCAAAATAACGTGTTTACGTGCAGGCGTAACAAGGTCCTCGGTTCGAATCCCGCGAGGGTCAGGAGTTGTGGGTGCGCACTGCTGATGTGTTTCATTTCAGAAAGAAACGTCCATCTAGTGCTTCCAGGTTTCTTATGGTGGTTCCATGCTGATCGATTCCTGAAATAAGTATCTTGATATTCTCCACAACCCCATTATTAATTTTTCAAGCTTAAAATGAATCGTTTACATTCAAACTTCAACGTTATTCTTGATTTTACAATTTAAAATAGAATTTCTTCATATCATGATCATTTGTTCGTTCCAAATACTTTGCCTGCTGTTGAAAGGTAGCGTTATTTGCAGACTTTCTCTCTTAACAAAACCGTATATCCATTTACACTGTATAGACATACATTCCCTTAGACCTTACCAATGGATGATATACGGTGTACTAGGACAACTAAACCGATGTTGTTTTTTGAATTATTGACTTCTGGGTAGTCACTGGGTTATCTGATTAGAAACCTTGAATGATTCGACAGCGTTAATGCAGGAAATTGGATTTTTTTTAATCAAAACTATCTCAGATAATCTAGTGCATAAATAACTAACTGTCATTTAGTCATTAAAATGTAGAATTTACTTGACTATTAGAAACCTAGAAGCACTGAACGGCCGTTTCGTCCTATAGTATGGGACTGATCAGTGGCAGTGCGTATCCATGACTTCTGCTACTTGTCGCAATCGAACCCAGGAACTTCGGTCTTGCGCGCGGATACCTAACCTCTGGACCACCGAAATGTCACCTAACGTGGTTAATGTCTAACTTCGATCGATCTAAGGATTTTGCGCAACCTCACCCACTTGTCTTCAGTAGTTACTGTCTACATATGACAGGGTTGAACTCCCCTGGTCACGTCGTCTCATTAGAAACCTTATAATCTTATCATTCTCTTTTTTTTCAATCTTCTTCAAAGATCAATCACTTATGAAAAACAAACTAGTCCGCTGAAATGGTCACAAAAATCATCAGAAATTAATAATAATTTTCACGCAACGGAATCCGCAAAGCAGTTTATTGTACATAATGATCGAAAATATGAAAATATAAATTCTAATTTCATTTCTCTATCCATCATTCACTTGACGAAAAATACTTCTGAAAAACATGAACTAATATTGAAAATCACATCAGAATTATCTGGTAAGAAATTTTTAATTTGGACGCTACTTTTTCAAAGTGTTATTTTTCTCTAATGTTTTGTCTCCAGAAAACTTTGTATGTATTTGGTCAAGGTTATAACCAAATTGAAAAGTGTTATATATAAATATATATATTTACATATTTGGCGCCCAATTTCTGTCAAACTATTGCTTCAGATACTGACGAGATATTCATATAAATAATGTACGCAGATTCTTTAACCTGAGTCATTTGTATGGTCAACAGTGAAATTCTTTAGAGATGGTTCTAATCAGCCGATGCATAGTTTCTAATGTCTTTTAGATCAGAATTCACATTTTAGATGAGTTGAAAAGATTTCATTTGGTCGCAAGTTAGTGAAATATAGTTGAGAGCAAGTTTATTGTGAAGAAATCTATGTTTCTACATGTTGCGCATGGATGAAATTCGCGCCAAAATTCAAGATTTGTTATCTTGAATGTGATTGGTTCATTCATAAGTTATAGTCCCGCAACATATCTACCCAAGCAGAGTTTAGTCATGTTCGAAGTTAAAGGTATGCAATGGAAAAACCGACTACTTTCTACATTTGAACAACGATTCTGCGGTATTTTTGGCAAAACAGCTGATTAAAGCTCCGTAAAATCTAGTTCTGTGTTCTGATACGTTTGTGGTGCTGTGAAACAGTGGTTAAAGTGCTTGGATTTCAATCAGTAGGTATTAACTCCACCTAATTTATCCGGATTGGTTGAATCGCATACTCAGACTCTTACACAAATAAATGTTTTGAATTTCGGGGTTATGGAGATTGATTTTCATGACTGAATTCATGAATTATGCTACTATTTGAGACCTGAAAGAAATGGATGAGCATTTCGTCCTGGTATGAGACTCGTCAGCAGTGAGTATCCACAACGGGACCAGTGGAATTCAAACCAGTCGGAGGTAGGAAAAATCCTTAGATTGATCGGAGTTAGACAACTTTGGAGGCCGGTTCAGTGGTCCAGAGATTAGATGTTCGCATGCAAGACCAAAGGTCCTGGATTAGACTGCTGAGAGTAGCAGGAGTCGTAGTTGCACACTGCTGAAGAGTCCAATACCCGGACGAACTGGCCGTCCATTACTTACAGCTTTCTGATGATGATCTAACAGTGGCAGAATCACAAACAAATATCGCTAAAATCTGAGCACAACAACTATCGAAATGATATAGAATGACAACTCATGTGGATGCATTGCATGGTGTGATGTTTAAACCAAATTGATTTGATTGAGATGTTTTCATCGTCCATTCAAGATTAAAATCATCAGCGTTTACTTCCATTGTTATGTCAGTTAAATGAATGTATTTAGACTGAGAAAAAAAGAAACTTACATATACTAAGTTGCGATTAGTCATAATTTAATAGCATTCTTCGAGGGACTCCTATTTAATGCATCTCAATTAGGATAAAAAGTAAATGCTAGCTTGACTACTTATAGAATTTAAGTAATATCAAATAAGTTTAAACAAATTCTAACAAACTTCAGAAACAAAATAAATAAATATTATCTTTTGTTTATTAAATCATTTTTTCTACTAATTTATTTAGAATTCATACTCATAGAGTATTGTTTGGTCAAAGGTGAATTGACAACTTCTTCCAAAATACTACTCACTTCAGACAATGAAAAATACTTGGATTTAAAGTATGTCTAACTTAAATTACCTAATTCATTTTCAGTGTTTCTTAATTTAACTGCAACACTACATTGCAATGGAATACAGGATGCACGTTTCGTCCCATTTAGGACTCATCAGTTAGGCATATTTGAAGTTTAGTAGTGTAGTAGTCAGAGAATTTACATTTAATCGATATTTATTCAGCTCGTTTAATTCAAATAAATGGTTACATGAATTATCGTTAATTTTGATTCAAAATTTATGTAAAATAGTTTGATTTGAATATAACATCTGTCAGGGATACTACTCCTAACTCAAGTCCCATATGGTCGAAAAATGAAAACTTCGAAAATGCGAAAAAATCATTACCTGACATGAGAAAAAGGGGTAATAGAAGTATTTGGGCCTATTTGCATCAAACTGGGCTGCCTCTTCTACTATAACCTACGCCATATATGTGTACACCATATGCTATACTGATATATAGAGCTGAAGGTCTCCTATGAGACTAGAGGTTCGCTGTGAACATTGTGGATGGCTTGGGTTTTGCTTTGGTAAGCATTGCTAACAGTCCATATACAAAATTGGTTAGCAGGTCAACCGATTTCATTGATATACTGGTGGTTGTTTTGCAACATTCCCGAGGGCCATTGTCATCGGGGTGCTGTATTGCTGCATATCACCATTGCTAATAATAATGAGTTTGACAGTCATGTAAGTGGGATGAGTCGAAATGGCCTGTTCATGCGGTGCATATTGATTGACGCGATCACGGATCGGAAATAATCACTATATATGTACTAGTGTATATAAATGGTGTGAATGGTCCACCAGGCTGGGTGACTGACTAATTTTTCGCTAAACACATTTCTTCATAAGCTTTTGAATCATATATATCTATTTGAACCAATAAGAACTTAACAGTTGATTCAAGGTTATAAGCATTGGACGCATTCCGATTGGTGTTTTCGATCACGTAAATTAAGTGAGTGGTGGAATGTGGTAATTACAAAACTAGCGAAACTATAATTTATGAACGAGCTAACAAGATTTAGGATAGCTAGTCTTGGTTTTAGGCGTGAAATTTTTTCATGCGTATGACTTAACAGCATTTTGGCATGACAGTTGATGCCAGTTCGTGAAAAAAACTCGGACTTTTAACTCAAAATCCCAATTGCAATTTCTCAAAATAGTTTATGGCGCTACCTAGGCGAGTTTCCTCAAGGTCACCTTGGTGTTGCTCAAAGGTCATCTATCAATCATAGTCTCACCATACACTTCAAGGATCTATTTTAAAACCAGTTACTGATAATGAAATTACTTTAGTTAGTATATAACAAAAGCAACTTTCAGTAGTTGTCAGTTATTTCCATAACTAACCAATCATATCGTGGTTTAAGTGTTCAACATGTGATCTGGTCTGACGTGTCTGTAAACTATCTTTGTTGTGAATGACCTACTAATTGAAGGACATTAGTATCTTATCTCATTGATGTGACTCATAATTCCATAAGACACGCATTATTGGTCGGTATGTTTGCTTGTTTCACTTGATAACTGTAATTTCCTTAATTACTGTACTAAGCTAATTGTTTTTATATTTAGAAACAGATCAAGTTTAAAGCCGAGTTGTCCTTTTACTGACTATAGCTTTCCCACTGACTCCGTATTCTCCAATATTGCGTTCATAGTTATAACAGTACATCTGTAGGTCGAATTTAATCCTACAGCAGTTTTGTTCAATGTTCAAAGTATATTGTTCGTTTTTTTCGCTTGTTAAGTAAATATCTACCAACTATTATTAACTGATAATTTCTTTTTCTTAAGATGCCTTCATACAAATATTTATAGAATCAAACAAATCATTGATATTTTCAATCATCTATCAGGATATCAATGTATTTTATTCAAACGACCAACTATTATGCAGGAGAGAACCCAGAACAATAATCAATCCGTTTGGATTAGTGAACCATTCATTGTTGGAAAAAATATTTCATTCTACAATTCTATCTATTTCACTTGTCTTATTCGTATTTGTCAAATGGAACAACTCTGTACATATGTAAGTAGTAAACGTTTGGAAATCATTTTTCAAAGTTAGACAGTGAGATGATTGGATGCTGCTAGCTCAATGGTCTGGAGGTTGAGCGTTTATGGAGTGAGGCCGAAGGTCCTGGGTTCCACTCACGCTTAAGCACGTCGTGGTTACGCATGGCTGATGTGTCCCAAACGAGAATAAAATGGCCATTTGTCTGTCCCCAACTCATGGAACAATATGTTCTTTGGTCTTCCTCTTTTCTTGTAAACTTGAGGTTAAAACTTGCCTGGTGACAGAGTTTAGTGCCTCCGCGATTGTGTATCCCATCCACTTCCAGCTCTTTTTCTTAGTTCCTTCCTCATCTGGGATCTGGTTTGTTCACTCCTACAGTAAGTAGTTGCTGAAGGTGTCGGTCAGTCAGACAGCTACAATGGATCCTCAGTATTGTACATAGACAACTGTTTATAAACACTTGTATCTCCCGAATGATGATACCTTTAGTAGTTCTTCAAGTTTCCGCTCCATAAAGTAACACTGTTTTGACGTCTGTATTGAAAATTTTAACTTTGATGTTTGTTGATAGTTGTTTTGAGTTGCAGATGTTCTTCAGCTGTAGAAATGCTGCCTTTACTTTGCGCCTGCGCTTTACACTAACGCTTTTCACACTACAAAAGCGAAACGTTTTTTTGTACCAATTAAACGTTTTAAACAGCATACAGATATATTTCAACTTCTTGTAATGGGCAATTTTCACACAGAAACCTAAAATTCACTTCCTCACTTCTGTTTAGCTTGTTCTTCCCCGATGTTTTATCAGAAAATCAAATTCATGTATATAAATGACAGTAGCACATTTCGGAGGTGATTTATTTGTTTCTCACTATGAAGGATTTGTACGAATATTCACTGAAAATTATTCTAACCTGTCTTCAATGTCATTTCTTATTGGTCGTCCTGACTATCTGGGTCACTTCAAATGGTGGTCGCCTTAACTTTCAATGTCACAGACTTCGATGCTGTTTCCTATCGGACCTAACTGTATAAATATGCATTATCTTAAACGTTTTATGATCCGGATTCTTAATGCGGGCTCGGACCTCGTACTTTCTGGATGCTTGTAGAATACAGGTTCTACTTCATATCAAGTCTTCTCCTTTCACTCAATGGGGGGGGGGTTAAGAAACTCTAATTACAGTAGTAAGTCATTTCACCGGATCCTCTCTCTCGTTTTCCGACTAAGGTAAACTCATAATAGTTCAAGCATATCAAATTGACATGGATACGCGCGTGCGTAACAATATTATAGATGAATCTGTTCGTCAAATTTAAACCAAAATTGACTGTAAATAATTCAGAAAGCCTTCCTTTGCACTTCTACTCGATAGCGATTCATTCTTTTGATGTCTGTTTGCAATTCTCCGTGTAGAATGCTCCTTGATCTATCTCGTTTTCTTCAGTCTTAAGGATTCTAAGTTACGGCATCCTTCGTGGTGAAGTTTGCTGATTTTCATCATGAACGAAAATAAAATACACCGTAAGTAAACCACTGAACACGATGAAAATCATTGACACTTGATCAACGAAACCAGATTTTGTGGAGACTGGATTATTTTCCCACGTAAAATCAAGAGCTAATCTTAGTTAGATTACCATTGGAAACACTGGATAGCAGCTGTATTTTCCTAGCACGTAACTCCCCTAACACTGGGTATTCACGATTCCACACACACGGAAATCGACCCAAGGACCTACCACCTAGGAACATTCTTTACACTCGTCCCCCCTTTTAATAAGCTGTCGTCACTTTCAAAGCAGGGACCCTGGTCAGTTAATATCACCTTCCGTATTCCGTGACACGCTACAATATGTCGCATTGCCACTTCGGTCATTGTTCTTTCCCGCTGGTCTGGAATGGATACGGCATCTATCTGGCGTGTAGCGTTTACAAGTTCCCGCTGCTGGGACACGGCGGCAGGTACACTCTCGATAAATTGCGACGCCAACAACTGTGCCTCCGACTCCTCATCGATATTCGGCAGAGCAGGGCGCAACAATCTGGCGTCCCCAGCACACCCAGCTCCGACCTGGGCCCACACCAGCTCCACCGCGGCCTCAAACTCCTCCAGGAAGCTCCGCAAATCCCCGTCCTCTAACTCCTTCAGCCACGAGAGCTCCTTCCTTCTTGCAGGCAGCGACACCAAATGTAGTAAACGGGAACACAGGTGGGGCAACGGGATTGTATTTAACGAAAATTACAGAGTTACTCAGTAAAATCGGAAAACCATATCGTAAATCGTTAGTTAATTTGCAAAATATCAGTCCATCATATCGAACTGGACTGTTCCTGTTGCAAAACATCAATCCATTGTCACAATTCATGCGTTTCATACATTGTGTTCCATTGTGTTCTTGTAACTCTTCCTTTCTTGATCTTCCCCCATCTTCTGCTGCCAGACATTACGTTGACACTCGCGTCACATACTACTTATAAGTAGCGCGCACCACACTACCACCTGGGAACATTGTTTATTACTCTAACATTTAACAGTTTTCATAAATTACCAGTCTTTACTTGTCGGTCCTTCGTTACTCTACACAAATTATATAAATATATTTCTTGTTATAGGCCAGTTTTTATTCATTCAATAAAACAAATGAACATCAATTCAGTGATCAATATCTACCGTCCAACGTCTACATACCATTGATAATATTGAATCAAAATCGAAACGAAACTAACCTTTTGCAATTACTTCCACCGGAAAATATGAATAAATTAATACAATTTCATTTTATTCAATCTGTATTAATAACAATGAATCAAACTAGTATTGGTAAACATTTGAATAATCCGATTGATATACATTTTCGTCATACAACTACTACCAGTGAGTTCATCAGATATTAATTTGTTTGTTTGTTTCATACCTTTGTAAAACTAATGTTTTTGGTTCTGGTGATGTTTCGTTCTCTGAGCTGGATGTGGTTTGGTTGTGAAGCTTTCATTGTTGTTCTTCTTCTGAACAATGAACATCATCGTTAGCACAAACTTCAGATAGACGAGGTGAAGTATTCGAATTTCTCCACGTGTTTGACCTGTAGCTTGTTCCGTTAACCTCGATCTTGACTGGTTGCTGTTGTCGTTATTTTCACCTTTGTTTTGATTGCATCCTCCCTTTTGATCCATTTCTTGATCATATGTCAACTATGATTTTTCTGACTGACTGATTAATTGGGTCAATATCAATGTGTTTGTTGATTGCTGATTGACCTGAGTGTGCCAAGCTTCTAAAGATTCTCTAATGTTCTATTTCCTACCCCTACCCGGTATTTTCACACTGTTCCAATCAAATGTGTGTCCATAATTGTCGGTATGTATTGATATAAGCGAAGCGTTGTTGTGGCGTTTGACTGCTAATTGATGTTCACGTAAACGGAGCTGAAAAGGTCGTCCACTTTGTCCTATGTGTAGTGTTTTTCACAGTTTGAGCAATTTATTTTGTAGATGATATTTGGTATTTCTTCCTTTGTCATTTTGTCCTTTGGTCTACATAGGATTGATCGATGTGATTCTGTTGGTTTGTGTGCCACACCTATTCCAAATGGTCTCTGTATTCGTACTGTATGCTGCGATATGTCTTCTATGTATAGTAGGATGATCCATTTATTGGTTTCTGCACTTGATTTCGCTTCTGCTGACGATTTCGGTTGATGTTTTTTGACGAAGTTGAGTGGATAGCCGTCCTGTTGGAAGATGGTCACAAGATGTTTTTCCTCGTCTTTTACTTCTTTAGTGCTTCATATATTCTGCAGTTTGTCTTTGCTCCCTTGAACAAAGTTTGTATGCAATTGATTTTGATGGGTTTCTTGGTTCGTTTCATTAGAGCATATGTAAAACGGTTGTCACATTTCCACAGATTAGTTTTCGTCCTAATTACAACATGAAATTACTTGTTGAAATTATGAATCGATCGATGTTAGACCACCGTTAGAAACTGCAAGCACTAGAGAGTCACTACTTTTCACATGTGGTTTGCGGTTGTGTGCTCACTACTGACCAGTTCCGTTAGGAAGTTACTCTCAGTTCTAGAGAGGAATCATGACCAGTGGAGTTCAACTGTGTTCGGGAGTGAACCAGTGCTCATAGAAGATAGTGAATGAGGTAGCGCAAGACCATGGATTGATCGAAGTTGGACATTAACACCAGCTCATTAATACCAGCTCACAGGCTCCAGAGGTTAGGCGTTCGTGTGCAAGACCGAACATCCTGGGTTCGAATCCTGCGAGGTGTAGGATTCGTGGATGCGCACTGCTGACGAATCCCATACTACAACGAAACAGCCGTCCAATGCTTCCAGGTTTCTTATGACACTTTAACAATGACTGATTCATGATTTCATATTTAAGATTAAAAATTATGATTAGTGTGTTTAAATCTCAATGTGAATATCAAAAGTGGAAGTCATATAGATCCAAGTGAGAAATTTCATATGAAACTAACAACAGATTCTAAGATCTTTTCACTAACCCACTGTTCAAACTATACAGAAATCTAAATTCCAATCATACGATGTAAGCATTAAGGCATGTTCACGAAAAAAAAATGAAAATCTCATTGAAATGACTAGAATCGAACGCAGAGAAATCGATTGGTTTATTGTAGCTCGTATAAAAGATATTGAATATTGAATTTATTTCGTAAATTTGTTTAAAATAATAAAAGCACTCAATAACATTGTTTCAGTGATATTTTCAAATCAATGCAATGATTTTGTGTTATATTTCATTATGGAACGTAATGTTTTTTAAGGAAATTCATTCTCTTAGTTGGTTAATTTCGAAATTGTATTCTCGAAGTTTGTTATGCTCGTCTCTAGGTATGCTTAAAACTAATACGGGTACACCTTAGTCGAATAATGATAACCAAACAATGAACCAGCCTCCAGGTAGGCTACTATGATCCCTTGACCAAATCGTACCAGCAACAAGTCTTGATATAGCGTAAAAAGTGTATTCTACAAACACCCAGCCAGTACACAATGAATTCAAGCACTCAAATTGCGTTTATTTATACTCTATAGACACGTCCTTGGGACAGTCACAAAAATAGCATACTAAAATGACACAGTAACCAATCACAGTCAAGGATTTTCCTGTAACCCAAATGCGATCTCAGGATCAACTGATCGGTCCATGAAATAAATCCAAAATAAAGATGTTTATCAAGCGAGTTCTTAGGATCTAACATCCCTAACATATTACTAGCACAAAGCCATTAATACTGAAGTTTAGCCATATGGAGTATGTGGAAGCTACTACCTTCCAATGACATTTAGAAAAGTTTAGGGCATACAATGTAACGGGTTAGAGTTAAAAGTGTTAAACACAAATTAAAGGATTCACTGCAACATTTGAAGATCTTTCAACTCGATTTTCTCCATTGGTGCACACTGTTCGGATGATTATTTTAAGTAAGACTAATCGACACTATGAACTATGAAGTCTCTAACCATAACGAAAATAGATTTTATTGGCCCGTGGTTTGACTCCAGTTCCGGATGAATGATCCAGTATGCGGTGAAGTAAATCTTCCTTTCCATTTCCATACATCATACTTAGGCAAACCTCATTTGTTCGGTAGTGGTCATAGGAAGCCAGATACGGTGTTTTTTGCGGATGAGTTTATTTCATGCATTTTTAAGCAGACAGATGTGAGAATGAAAAGCGCGCAAACAGAGAAAAGTGAAATGGATTGGAGAAGTTGAATAAACCAACTCTTATGCTCTAAAGCATGGCTATGTATTTATAGTCAGGTAATAATAGAGGCTAGACAAGTAATAAGCAAGTGAGCATGCACACACAGGCACACACGCTCAAGTATACAATAGTCGATACTGTTATTGAATTATGTAGACAACTAATTATGAAAGCTAATGTATGTGAGGTGCGATTATAACTCCCACCGGTAACTCCCACAGATAATAATCAAAGCTCCAAAGAATACGGCAATGTCTTCAGAAGGTTATACACCTTGACATCGGAATATACAAAACATGTTATATCTTATGTTTAGATCACATAAGTTTTTCCTATGTCCACCGTTGAGACCATCTCTAACTCTTTGACCATATCTTGTCGTTACTGGACTCTCTTCGTTTTCCTTCGTTACTGTTGCCGATCGTTGGAACTCGCGTTTCGGTGACTTGATGGTTTTGTGCTTATTAATAGATCGTCACTTTCGATGAAAGCTGGTTTGAGTTGGTCGATGCTACCGTAGAAGTTTTATCATTTCTTCTGATCACTTTAAATGGATCATCGTAGGTCGGCTGTAACGGACGTCGTACATTATCCCTTCTTATGAATACATGGGTACTTTCTCTCAGTTGCTTCCGTACGTATACCCGATGCTGATTTTTCTTCGGACCTGTTATTCTCAGATCACGCGTGTGTTCTTTTAGACGATGTACATAGTTGGCCATATCAGCTAGAACACTGATGTGAAAAGCTCTGCTGGTAGACGTAGAGTAGTTCCATAAACCAACTCTGGTGGGCCCCAACCTATATATCTGGTTTAACTGTCGATCTTAAACTCAACAATGACTGGGTCGACTTCCATTACGATCGAGTAAATCTTTCGTTTGGTGAATAAAAGAAATAAAGCTTCAATTTCATGTTACCGCAAAATTTATGGATTTTTCCGTTTTGAGAAGTTGTTACATGATCAATATTTTGCAATCAACGAAGCTTAATAAAATGACATCCTTTTCAATTAGAGTTATGGAGATTAGTGTTTTTACACATTTTTGATTATCAACCAATCATTGTTAGACTGTTATTAGAAACCTGGAAGCACTGGAAGACCGTTTCGTCCTGCTATGGGACTCATCAGTGGCAGTGCACATCCACAACTGCTGCACCTCACAGGACTCCAACCCAGGACCTTCGGTTTTGTGCGCGAACGCCTAACCATTGGACCACTAGGCCGGTATCCAGCGGTGTTAATGTCCCTAGATCAGTCAAAGTTAGGAGGTCCCGGGTTGGAATCCTGTGAGGTGCAGGAGTTGTGGATGTTCACTGCCTCTGATGAGTCCCATACCAGGACGAAACGGCCGTCTTTCAGTGCTTCCAGGTTTCTAATGGTGGTAATCTAACCATGATTGATTGATGATATCAAATGTGTAAAACAATGTGGTGTGAAAACAAATCAAATTTTAATTTTTTTAAAATTCCCACTTTTTGATTCTGTTTTTATTTCTTCATTTTTTTATTGTATAGACGTGAATAAATCACAACAATCTCTTTGGATTTATTTCATTTTGGCACTATTGATTTTCATATTTCTATGTCAAATCATCATTTGTTTATTGAAATATTTCAAGAAGAAATATTACGCAAAATATCGACTTGCTAATCATAGAAATCCATTTGTAATTGCAATGAATACAAGTAAGAACGGTAATTTTGTATTGATCGAAGTTAGACATTAATACCGTTAGGCGCTGCCGGCTCAGTGGTACAGTGGTTGGGCGTTCGAGCGCTCAACACAGAAGGTCTTGGGGTCGAATCCTGCGAGATGCAGGAGTCGTAGATGTGCCCTGTCACTGATGAGTCCTATACTGTGGGACGAAACGACTGTTTTTCAGTACTTCTAGGTTTCTAATAGTAGTGGTCTAACATTGATCGATTCATGATTTCAAATTTTGTATTTTTCTAAAAAATTCTATTTGTTTTTGCCAATGTCATTCACGTTACAGAATTTGATTTTTCTGGGAAAATATTTGACAAGAACAAGCTAATTGGAATTGAGAATGTAACTTTTTGGTGTCTGCCCGAAAATTGCTCATTACAAGAAATTGAACTGTGTCTGTACTCTGCATAAACAGTTTCAATGGTACAATAAAAAGCGACTTTTTATTTCTGTAGCGTGAAAAATGGTCGCATGAAACGCGAAGACTATTCTGTAGATAAAATGTAACTGACAAATCAACATTATCTCTAAATTGTAACCTCAATCCTGTACTTCTGGTTGTACCATGTATCTTAGTTCAGACAAGCGCAGGTAGTAAAGATGATTTATCCTTAGTTTTATGAAGTGTATGGTCGATAAGATTGCCAGCGTAATACCGATTAGTTTGTAATTACGTATTCATTATTACTAGTTCACCTTAGTCGGAAAACAAGAGAGAGGATTGGTGATCGGGCGACAAGATAGGCTACTCTAATCCCAGAGTCCCAAACCCCCATTGAGTAGAAGTGTGAGGATATTCATCCATTATCCTAAGAGAATTATTGGTCAATTCTTATTGGTTAATTCCTACTGATCAATTTTATGACCGTCCTGCATATCAGTGTCACGTGCTCCAACATTGTTTCTTATTGGTAATCCTGAATTTCAATGTCACTTCAAATATTGTTTCTGATTAGTCGTCTTAACTATCAATGTCACAGACTTCGATGCTGTTTCCTTTTCAACGTAAATGTATAAATACGCGTTATCTGTAACATTCTAGGACCAGGACCCGGTCCCGGATCCCTAGTCCGGGATCCTGATTCTCTTCTGAACTCGGACCTCGTACTTTCTGGATGCTTGTAGAATAAAGGTTCCACTTCATATCAAGCTTTCTTCTTTTATTCAATGGGATGTTGGGATTATCGGATTGAGTAGCATGTCGTGTCGCCGGATCCTCGATCCTCGCTCTCGTATTCCGACTAAGGTAAACTCCTAATGGTTCAAGCATATCAAACTGAAGTGTTTACGTGCAGGTGTAACAGAAGACTTGATATGAAGTAGAACGTGTATTCTACAAACATCCAGAAAGTACGAGGTCCGGGTCTAGAAGAGGATAGGGATCCCGAACTAAGAATCCGGGTCATAAACCGTTAGAGATAATGCATATTTATGCACTTAGGTCGAATCGGAATCAACATTGAAGTATGTGATGTTGATACTTGGGACGACCAATAATGACATAGATTGTTAGGACGACCAATAGGAGTTAACCAATATGAACCGACCAATAGAATTAGACTTACAAAATAATTTCTTTTGGATATTAACAAGACTAACAAAACAATTATTCTTTCTTTTCTTTTCCTTGAACAAAGTTCAACAATCAATAAATAGAAATTTAAATTCTAAACAAACCTGTCAGGGTGGTCATGCTAAGGAAGATATATATGAATTACACGATATTGATATCGTAAATGAAGATGCTGCTGGATTGAACAATGAAACAAACGATACTAAATGTTGTACAATTGAACTAGATCGTCATGAACATCAATATCAACAACAACATCACTCTTCAAATGCTTTATTAAATAAACCTCAACAAACTAGTCATTCAATGACATGTTTATTAGTTTATCCATTTAACAAACCAAACAAATGTTTCTTACTTCATGATAATACTACATTACATTATAGAAATTTATGTCTTCCATCTTCTATTCATTGTCGTCAACATAATTTCAACCATTCCTATCACAATCATGTATCTCATTTTGCTACTGTTTCACGTAAGAAATCACAAAATATTGAATTATTACGACGTATAAGTAAATCAACATTGAACATTGCAACCAATGAAATTAAAGCGCCAACTGAACATTCAACATTGAATAAATATAATGAGTTAATTCATTTAAACAATAAAAATCATCCCTTAACTAATCATAATTGTACACATAGAAATATTTTTCTGCCAACTAGTTATCATAATGATTATTTAAAACAACAGTATGATTATTGTACAGTATATCATACATTAAAGAATCAAGATTATAATGATGGTTGGGTCTAAATGATCTATGACAAAATCCTATTTTTCTTGTTTATATTAAAGTGTCTTATAAATATGGAAGATTACAAATTATTTATAACGTAGTTAAAATTCATTAAATGAGTAGTTATTGAGTGTGTTTAAAACAATGTGATGGTTGTAAGTTTTCAAGATGAGGTTTAGGGTCTAGAGTTAAGACTTTTATGGTGAAATGGCGTTAGCGCAATAGGTATGAATGAATTTCGCTTCAAAATCAAAACCCATTATTATGAAAACAATTAAGCTTTTCTGATTTTATCCTTACTGAGCTACCTAACAACACACTTTGTAATCCTAATCTAGATAAACAATTACACGTTGACCACTTATGAAGAATGTCTTTGTAAGCTATTTTTGAAAAAAGGCTGTGGTGGCTAAACTACTCTATATATTTCAGTTAGTCAAACAAAATGGCATGAAACATTTGATAACAAACTTAACACTGGTCGTATCGTATTAAAACAGATTAAATATGTCTTAAACGAATAAGCTAGTGCTTGCTTAGCTTCTACAGTCATTAGTTTTTCACTAAACACGCAGATTTAAGTCGATTAGGGCTTCTGTACGTAATAATTTATAGTGAATAACTAAGCAGGCGATTCTTATTTCAATACAACATATACTAACTAGTCAATTTGTCATCTGCCTTCAGTTTCGATTCAGTCATGACCATTAGAATAAGTGCTAGTGAGCTTAAGGAACTTCTAAATAAGATATTATGTCCGATACTACAATTATTACTACTTCCAAACACATTGCATCAGTACTTGGAAAACGTATGGCCACAAACCAGAAACCAAACTTCGATTGTTAGTTGTTTCACGGGGAAAGGATACAATGTATTCAGAAAGTGTCACAGGAATTCGAAGGAGGATTTTACAAGTTAAATGCATTGTATGATGTAGTCTGATACTCTCACTCTCAGTAGCTAATAATAGTAGACAACCTGGGTGTTTTCATGCTATTAGAGGCCGCTTTCAGTACTCAAAATTACTGAGAACGAGACGTCATAAAATTAGACAGAATTTTTAGTGACACACTGTTACATGACTTTTTCGGTTAATTGAGATAACTCTTTACTTCATCACAAATAGCGGCCTCATTCCTGAAGTATTCCGTGCCAACAAACGTTTAGTACCAGCTAGTTACCAAATATAGCTGGACAGACCATATCATCTAAAAGATAAACATGAAAATCAATTCGCACTGACTTCTCCAATTGTGGAATACCTAGATTAAAAAACATCAAATTAGCTGAGACTAGCCAGCTGGAAATCCCTTATATGGACCGTTCAGAAGTATTCATTAGGTTACTAGGAACCATTTCGTCACCTCTGATTCGCCTATACTCGAATGTATAATTATTTGATAACTTGGGCCACTCTTTGTAAAACTTGGACTCGAAACCACAAACAGCCTTCGTGGTCCGCCTTTGGATACGTTCCATAGTTTCTTATTCATTTAGAACAAAGAAGGAAAGACTGTGCTTACATTCTCTCAATAGGGTCCCCTGAAACTGGTAGAAATTCGGTGTAAAGTTTCGGTTAGGTACGTCAGATCCCCAGAACTCAATTGGAAAGGTCTGAATTTTGTAATTAACTTCTAAAATTTTGCATAAACAGACGCTTAGTTGACATTCAGCTTACATGTTCCACTCGTAGACTCTTAAGTGTCATTGGTTGACAAGCTGTTTTAGTAAGCTATTTCATGGCTCTCCCAAGGACGCCGCTAACATTGTAAAAATAAGCTTGATTTGTTTGTTTAGCAACCTCGTATTTTCTGGGTGCTTGTAGAGTACATTCTCTACGCCTTATCAAGACTTCTTGATGTAAATAGCAGGGCCTGATACAAACGGATTAAAATAGCCTTTCGCGTCACTGTATCGTTGATCTTCGTTCCGTTGCCGAGTAAGGTCAACTCGTTATGGTTTCTAGCATATCATTTTCATAGTGAAACTGCTTTACAATGCCCTTCCGAAGTTAACTCGGAAAGGTTTGCTCGAAAAATATTTTTTCATTGTTATCCAATAAATTTAGGTCTTCGTAATCCCTGTATATGTGGGATATCATCAGATGCAAGCCATCTAAATTATACTTGCAGTTCTCCTCATGTATCGAATCAACTGTTTTACAACTTAAGATATTGAATGTCAGTCAATGTTAACCGTACAAATTTGAACCCAAGCCAGGTTTACATACACTGGTTTCGAATATCCTATCTACGTTTGAAATCATAAATAACGACCACAGTTCTAGTATTCGTCAAAACGCAGAGAGAAGAAATAAAAGTTAATTTGATTAGACCAAACAACGTTCTTCTTTGTAGAGTGTTAACTGGTTCTGAGTGGCTCTCATTAATTTGTTTAAAAACGCAAACGATTCGCGAACGCTACAGACTGTGCTATACAGTCAAGGTATTCTCTAGCACAAGATAGCTTGCTGAAAATGAAAAAGCCTATTCCTAACAGGATTACGCCAGCTATCTGCCTACAGGGAAGACAGCAACCATTTACATTAGGAAGTCATAGATCGATAGTAATCGAAATGAAACCATACGTATCCATTATTTAAGTCAAACTCAACTTAATTGTCGATTGCTTGGCTACAAGCAACAGTAAAATCAAATAATGGAGGTGAACAATAACCAAAGTTAACTACTAATCATCTCGACAAGGTAGAATGAGGAACACAAAACATGGTTACAGGAGTCCTCAGTAAAAGTTAGAATGCTAACTAATGTAATAAGTAAAAAAATGTTTTGTTGGCTCAGCAATATATGAGTAAGTTTGTTGAGTTGAAACCTGTAATTTAGACTTTCATGCTAATTAGTTAAAAGTTGTGAATTTTAAAAATGCCAGTGTTTCAAAGCCACCAGTTTATGAATTGGAAATGTAACAAAAATGTAACCTTCACCTGACTCCCAGGGTAAGGGACAGTAATTTATCTATTTACTACAGTCAACGAATTTTTGACTCAAGATTGATACTCCCTGAAACTATAATGCCGGGGTATGGAGAATATTAATATATTGAATATATTCTAACCATCAAAACATAGGTTACTGAATATACAGACCATCAAAAGCAGAGTTACTAGTTCAAAATTTGGTAGGCTATTGAGTTGGCCAGTTTAAAAATTCAGGATGATGTGTTCATGCATCCATCAGTTGAGTTAACATGAGATTATTAGGTAAAATGGCGCCAAAAGTATAGTCATTTCAATAGGGTATAGTGAAAGACTGTCTAAGCCGATCTCTACTGGTGCATCGACTTTGCCCGACACAGGAAGATACAACCCGAGTTAATACATGATATAAATCAATTGTTGCTGTAAATATACTAGAGTTTTACAACAGTAAGAGACAGATCGCGAGCGGAAGAAAGGGAAATGGCAACTCCATGGACCTAAAGATGCTTCAAATGAAGGACAAGGACGTCAGACAAAACTTAATAATTTTAGTGGCTGTAGTAGGGTCGGAGGGTAGCTTGCCGTAATGTAGGGCTTTCTTTGATACAGAACAGTGAAATTAATAGTGTACAGGATTTGTAATCAGCAGCACCCCTGACGAACTACGCTGTCTGTTCAAGGTTCAGTATGTAACTAAATGTAAATCCGCGCCGTTATGGAAAAGAATAGACTCGGCAAATGTGGCTGAATAACTTCTAACATCTCTCAGAGCCTCCCCGATCATATTCAGGCAGGACAAACCATGTTCAGCATGAGCAGCAGTTAGGACATAAAAAGGCATCCAAGAACAAACCAGTATGGAAGTTCATGGAGTGTCAACTCATTTTGAACAACTCGCTAGGAAATCTGAAAACGGCTTTTGCTGCAGCGGTGCACTAGGTGTTGAGATAAGCCACCAAGTGCCTCCGCAGCAACGTAAGACGGTTAAAGAATAAGCTGTAAGAGACCAGGAATATGTGCTCTCAAATATGTCTGTTGGTCATGACCCCCAATGAAACATGGCTATTCCCTTAAAAATTGCACATCGAAGAGCGAACACCCGATCCCTTGAACAGTTTTCCTCATTAGGAGTTTTCCTAACTTGGAATGTTCTTGCAGCCGTTTTGGCCACAGCCTCATTAGTGGATAGCTTCAAGAAGAGACTCTAAAAAACTTAAATATATTGGTTATCACATCTCCAGTGAACCAGTTATGCCTGATGCAGGTTTTGAAACTTGCCTATTACTATCATTGTCATTTCTTCCGATCTCTAACCTACTCTGTCTCGCTTATAACCGCAGCTTCCAGTTCTTTGCTCATACTTCAGTCAGCTTGCAAAATCTTCATTGCCAATTAACTAACTTATTCAACCATTTATTTACTTAGTTCTGAAATCTCCGCATTAGAATTCTCTCATTATTATTCTCCATATTTCAACTAACTGACTCCCGCCCTGGTAAGGTGATAGTTGCCGGTATCCAGAAGCCGTACTTCCCCGAAACCAACGTACTCATTCGAATGACGAGACAAACAAATTAATAATCAGCTGCTTACTGACTGATGTCCTGACTACCATCCGTTTGATACTATCAAATAGTTAAAAGCGTAGAGAGTAAACAAGAACCGAGAGCAAAGAAAGGAATAGGAATATACTAGCTAGGGGAAGCAGTATGGGATATTGGATACATATTGATTTAAGATATTGGACATTTGAGGCCGTGACAACTTTAAAGGCAACGCTACCCTTCGGGTTACCCGACCCACACAACTATTGGTAATTTGTGGGTTGGTTCATTTACTGGACCCAGTCCCAGGTAACAACACTTGTTTTCTGGTGCTTTATAATTAAGTTTGTACGTATAATAAATATGTATTCATTATATCCTCTTTAATTGCTAATGAGAGCCATCTTTTTGAGAACATTCTTGAGATATCGTGTTGTATTTAGATTATTATACAAATATACCGATAGTTGAAGAGAGATTCAATAAGTCTTAGTGCCTGTTCAACTTTTATCAGTTCAACTATCCGTAGCTTGTAGCTGTGTGACTAGTTATATGACGTTTATCATCGCTAAAATGAATAAAGTTTAGATGACCTTAACATAAAATGGTATCAACAGTCTATACTTCTTGTTCTGGCACACTATCGTCAGCATTTTTGAATTTTTTGTTTATTTCGTGATGCAACATAGATTTCAAGAGTTGAAACTGATGTACGTCGGTCTCCTGGTTGCAAGGACTAATAAATTATTAATTGCTCTATCAACCTTTATTTTAGTTGTCATAAATTCGGACCACTTACCACGCAGCCCAATTCAAAAATGATAGTGTATAAGCGTTTTGCATGATTCATGAACCTATGAAGGTTCAAAATAGCGTCAAGATTTAAGTTGAGCTAGGGTTATGGCTTCTTAGAGGAACGATTTGTGTCTGTAAAATGAGTGCTTTAAGCATACTTTATTCGATTCACATCTTCAAAACCTTTAATTTATCTCGATAAGTAAATCACTTTCTTATTATTTTAAAAACGCCTCAATTATGACTAAAGCCATACGTTACTAGCAATCCTGAATGACTCCACTAGCCCATACGAAATGAAACAAAAATAAATAACTTAAAGATAACGTGAAAATTAGGGCGTAAATACGTTTTACATGGTTACTATGCATCATGCTTCATGAAAGATTTTTTGATACTAACACTAACGTACTCGTAACACAAAGCCTCATCTATATGGCTTCAGCCAGGTTCATCTTTAGCGAATTTTCGGGGTTAAAAATAGTTCCCTAATCGTGACTACATTACTTCCACATTGCAAGTGTGAACAGTATTTGCAGAGTTGGTAAAATAATCCTCATAAATGACTACCCGAAAATTATGACCCATCTACTTTCTATTCATTCACATAAATAGCCGTTCCCTATAGCACATACCGTACATAGACGATAACCTTCCTTGCATCTTTTTGGATCATAATACATGATAACGGTTAGATAAATCTCAAATGCCCCTAACTATGCCCTCAATCACACCAAGTATTTTCAACAAGTTGTTGCCGTTTGAAACATCATGTGAATCGATAGAAAGTGTTTCATATTATTTAGCTCCCACACTATGTCAATTTTATAACATGACTCAACAGATACATTTGATTATTTAAAGCTGTCGCCGGGGAAAAACGTAAGATTAGTTGACATTTCTTATAAACTTTCTTCTGATTTCGTGTTTCTTCCATCTCACCTCACTTTTCTTTTTGGTCTTGTGGTTATTGACAACAGTTCATAAGGAAAAAAAACATGAGTTTGAATAAAACGATTGCTTCTATCGTAGCCTATTTTCAACCTCTTGACAAAAATTCTTCTTTTCATTTAAAGTTTGCCATACGAATGATCTTAACAATTTAAGGCCTAAATAATTTACTGACTCATTCCATACTTCTTACGGATTATTTCAGTTAGTTTTCGGGAGGTTAGATGCATCTATGGTACAGTAAACTAGACCACTTCCAAATCGGTTAGATGGCACATTCTTTTGCAAATATATATGTCCAGTCCAGTAGATAATTAAAGTAATGATGATAAGTGCCAAGTGTTTTTAATCATGTTAGTCTTGTTCTTCATACTCCAGGTCATAATATATCAAAAACTATACACCTTTTAAGTTACAGCGTATCATTTTTACTTTTTCACTTTTTTTTACTACATCAAAACAACATAACTATTTGACTTCAAACCTAAAATAGTCCAAGTACACAATGTTATTTGGAAAGCATTTCAACTTCCTATTGTTAACATTCTATATTGTGTTGGTCAGTATATTGATTTCTTATCTAAGTAAAAATCCGTATGAATAAGTTTCAGCGATAAGACATTGTTCGTTAAGCTAATAAATAATCACTAGTTCGTACCTCATTTGCAATATCAACACACTGGGATTTAAATATATGTAGTTGTCAGTAGGGCGAACTACAATCTTTATAAATTCTGTAATTATTGTCCATTTATATGTTTTAGTACAATGTGATTCCAGCATCGTTCTAAATTCATATTCACCTTTTAACAACAAAGTTTCGTCTGGTTCATTCGTATATATACCTCATGTGTGCATTTCTTCTATCATTATGACAAACAATAAAATCAGAGAAATTCTTAGTTAAATAACATCACTCTTATAAGGCATTCAAGTGTCTTTTTTGATGTATTTGGGATATGTGTTACCAATGCCCAACCACCGACTGCCTTGTCGAGCTGTTCTTTCGATGTAGAAGTATGTTGGAAGACCAAAACATGGCACAACTCCATGAAGACACTGATAAGTGGACTGAGCCATGTTTGTAGGTGTAGACTACCTGGTTGAGATCCGCGAGATGAACGTCACCGATTGTTAGAGTCCTTGAACGACATGGCTCAAAATCGTTTGCAATGGCTTCTCCCTGATTTCCTCCACTGGAATCTAGTACATTCTTTCCCACAGTAGGTTGTTGGTGATAGTTTCTGGCCAATGGATCCGAAGTATTTTCCGTAGACAACTGTTAATAAATACTTGTATCTTCTGGATGATGGATTTCATAATTCTCCAAGTTTCTGCCCCATACATTAGAACTGTCTTGACATTTGTATTGAAAATTCTGACTTTGAAATTAACTCAAGTAGGACGGGTTAATTACTTTGTCTGAAAGCCAGAAGAATCTCTGTAGGCTCGACGTATCTGTACAAACACCACAGTCGAATATATATAATCACTGCATCAACAACATGAATCAATCGGGATTTTTTCCTGTGAAATAATTTCTACAATTTACATTATCTACTTTGTATTAAAATTAAGCAATATTGTTGTACTACTGTATGAGTAAAATACATATACCCTAGTGTTCACATAAGGGTATGTATGTATGGATATTTCTGACATGCTGTAACTCAGTCATTCAGTTACAACGTATAACTTCTTGCGTACGTACGTAGATCAGTTCAGGTTGCCATACCACATTAGCACAGAGACGCAATTGTCGATTCGAATCCCATAGTGGTAGAGACAGTAGAAGTATTAGCAGTAATCGGAAAGATTACGGTTCGAAAATATGATTTGAGAAGTATAATTCAGTGAGATAAATTTAGAAAGCGAGACATAGAGATGATGAAGAGTTTAGAAGACTAGGATTTGAGAGAACACAAAGAGTGGATGCACCTGCGCCATTGCAAACGGTTCACTTAAGATCTCTAACTATCGATTACTATTATCTCGCGGACCACAACCAGGTAGTCTACACCTACCGACATGACTCATTCCGGTTGTCAGTGACTTCATGGATTTCTGCGCTGTTTTGGCTTGGGCTCCCTTAGCTTTCTTCCAACCTACTACACTTAGAAAACCGCTGAACGAGGTAGTCGGTGGTTGGGCATTCGTAACATATATCCCAACCAGCTCAAGTGATGAAGTCTCAATACTTATTCTATTGATCTGCCATCTTTACCTAGCACTCGTTTCCTAATAGCAGCATTGTTTATTCGGTTGTCCAACGATACACAAGCAATGCTTCTAAGACGTCTGTGATCGAATACTAGTAACCTACGAATATCTTCTACTCTGACCGGCCATATTTCGCATCCATATAGGAGAACGGAGCGAACTGCTGAGCAGTACACTCGACCTTTGGTTAGCAAACGGATATGTCGCCTACGCCATAAATGACGCAGGTTGGCAAAATCAAATCAAGCCCTCTGTATCGGTGCAGAGATTTCATCAGTCACCAGGCCATCAACACTGATCAGACTCCCGATATAAGTGAAGCAGACGACATTCTCTAACTAAGCCAAACTTAGATTTGTAAGTTATGAACAGTGATTTGAAAGCAATAACAACAATAATAATCATAGTTATCTCATCGATTTTCTCTTTATTCTGCTTTCTTTCAGGATATTTTCTTTTCTCATTGAATTGCATTTTACTGTTCAATCAAATTTGGACCAGTACACCATAATGCATTGTGCATCTTCATTACACAAGTATGTTTGTCTGATATTTTCTTCCTTGTTTGATTGATTATATAAAATGTTAACAACAAAGGATGTTTTTACTTGATTAAAACTGTTATAGGGAATTTATTATAGATATTTAATATACAGAGCTAACCAGAAGTGACCGAATGAGGTGAGTTAACAATTAGAAATGCCGCTTAAGAATAAATATATATCATTGGCTAAGAAATGGATCCATTTTCTAATGGGGATAAATATATATATATATATATATATATATATATATATATATATATATATATTAGTCAGCAACAACGTAGAACTTCGTACGTATGTACGTACATCAGTTCAAGTTGTCATACCACATTAGTACAGAGATGCAATTGTCAAATCAAATCCCGTACGTTGTAGTAGTGGTAGCAGAAGTATTAGCAGTAATCGGAAAGATTAGGGCTCCAGAAAAACGGTCATAAGGACTTCAGATGATTAGAATTTATGAGAACACAGAGAACAAATACACCTGCACCATTGCAAACGATTTTGAGCTTTGTCACTCAAGGTCTCTAACCATCGACTGCTATCGTCTCGTGGAACTGATGTTATTCGATAGATAAATAAGTTTTTCTCTTCTACTCTTGCCTTCTTGTTAGGATATAAGATTGTGCATTATTCCGCCTATTCAATATCAATATACTTTTTAAATAAATTGTACACATTGTAGAATAGCATAGAAGGTACACATAATTCATAATTTTCCTTATACAAGGAGAAATCAATCATGTTTGTTGCCTTCCTACAAAGTGCCTATAAATGTTTTCTATGTGATGAAATTAAGTTCAAATCTTTGTTTTCAACTCTAAACTCAAAGTTCTGCGTAACTCCTAATAAAATAGTATTGAATTGTCTAAATACGATTCAGTGAACCGGAGACTCCAACCAGATACATACTTGTTAGGAATTGTGTTTTATCGCCTAAATCAGTACTCAGTAATTTACTTGAATGAAACAAAGTGGATTCTTAGCTAGTAACGTTAACCAGATAAGTATTACCTAGCTCTTATAAACGCGACCGTAGCTGCTACCGTGACATGTGGTGGTCGGCCTTGCCTATCGTGATGCAACAACGGAGCTATATTGGCTAGAGCATATGTTCCTTTAGGTTCTATCATGCTAGGTTGATCGATTGGACAATGGTGAGACTTAAAGCAGCAACTCAAGGTCTGAGGGCGAAGTCGTACTTCTGACTGTAGAGAGGTGTGACAGCAGTAAGGTGTTCGCCTCGGACAACCAACATCTGCAGTTATGCTGCCTTCTCACAAGGAAGGAAGGGTTAGAAAAGTTTTAACCCTAAAAATATCATACTTCAGCTTAGCGCACAGATTTCCGTTTTCAGCTTCAAGGCCTTTTGAAGAGTGGGGCTAGCGCTTCCAAAAAAAATCCTATCAGAAGTTCGTGCATGGCCGGCCTCAAGCGATAGTCCCTTGTGCTCTGCAGTCGCTCTCTCAGGTCGCGTAAAACCCACGCTAATCCGGCTTTGTTTTCAGGTTGCTCAAGAAATACCTTACCACAGTGTGGGCAACCGGAAAGTGACATCCGTCTTCATAACCCTAACAGCAAAGGAGATCATGACCACATCATCTAGCTCAGAGAACTGAACCACATCATCAAAAAATAGTCATAGTCATATAGACAGTTAATTTTCTAATCTTAAGTACTACCAAGCTTAATATATAAAAATCTAACCGGTTAGTCGTTAGTTTGTGTCAAATAAATCTTCATCGGACCGAAAACAAGTTCAAACACGCTATTCGTTCCGTTAGGATTCTAAATCCCGTGTGCACCATCGACTGGGAATGAGGGTTCTGCAACTTTAAGTTGATCGTCTGTACTGACCCAACCCATTTCAAGCCTAGACCAGACATTCTCTGTTCGCCCTTTCAACTTCGTAAACAACACTAATATCACGAGAAGGTAGTTAAGACTTCTCTGGTAGAGGCTGTGAAAGCATTTTGAGACGAAGAGAGGACTCTGCACATGCTCGGTCTTACCAGTGTGGTTGGAGGCCATTGTGATAGATAACTTAGTTTGTATATCTGTCGAAAACCGGACAAAACTTTACTCCTATCAATGCGAATACTGGGTTTTAATTGAGGTTGTTGTAATATTTTCTGTTGGTAAACTGTAAACATCAATTTTCATACAATCTCTATTTTGACAATACTATTATGTTAGTTTACTGATGAATATCACCTCTCCTTTATTTATTCTTAGATTTCCTCTACTTCGTAATTTGAATTTTGGACGTGTACAATGCCCAATTTCCCGATTTGATAATATTATCGTACAACCTTTTATATGTCAATCAACACAATCTTCATCTTTAAATGATACAACATTTGTGCCTGGACCAAAAATGCCTAGTACATGGTGGCCTCATCAACCATTAGTTCCTGGACGTCGTGTAGCAAGATTATATCCTGTTCGTTATTTAAATAAAACTCGTATTGCATTAGTTCGAGAAGGATGTGTCAATAGACCGTTTTTTACAATACAAGTAAGTTTGCAAATGTTAAGTGTAATTGCTAGACTTATTCATTGTCAGATTCACGATTGAATTCACGTGAATAACGCTACCGAGGTCTATTTGAATCAAGAGATTCTCTTGGTTACCCGTAAATTTAAGCATACATTCAAAGGTGATAAGACATCAACACTAGTCCAACGTCAGAATGACAGATTCAAAATGGTTGTCTATGCAAAAATACGTTTCAACCAATCAGATACAAGAACAGTGGGTTCAACCTTGACTACTAATAAGTAATACAGAGTTATCAAACAAGCATTTCAAGCTTATTATTGAAAGGATTAAATAAACAACCTCCAATTTGTATCTATTTTTTTCCATTGAAATTACGAATCGATCATTGTTAGACCAACATTAGAAGCATGGAAGCACTGAAAGACCGCTTCATCCTAGTATGGGACTCATCAGTAGTGCTCATCCATGATCTCGTGAGTTGGAATCTGTTGTAACGCTGCTACGCATAGCTATTCATTCGTAGCGGCGTCCAATTCAAATACCCCAATACGACCCAAAATGTTATTTCCAAATCTCCTAGATATCAGAACGCAACACCGTGGGATGGAGTTGTTTATTGGGTCGAATACAGAAGAGAGGTAGGCAGAAGAAACGGTATCGGAATCATGAAGGCTTATAGATAGTGCGTAATTATACATTAAGGTCGAATAGGGAAAAGCATCAAAGTCTGTGACATTGACAGTTTAGGACGGTCAATAGGAAAGAACATTTGAAATGACATTGACAGTCCGGAAGATCAATCAGAGACAACATTGAAGTATTTGACTTTGACAGTTAAACGACCATAATTTCGACCAATAGGATTATACTTCCAAAAATAGTACTCTTAGGATATTTGGTAAATATTCTAACAGAATCGGACTGAGGATCTTCGGTCTCGCGCGCAAATGCCTAACATCTAGATCACTGAGCCGATATCCAACGAGGTTTATGTTTAAGTTTGATCAATTCAATGTCTTCACTGGGCATTGCGTCACATCCGACAGGGTTGAACTCCACTATTCGCGGATTATCACCAAAACTGGGAGAAACTTCCTCACGGAGTTAGTCACTGGTGAGCACAGCCGTCCAGTGCTTCCAGATTTATAACGATGGTCTAACATTGATCGATTTACGATATCAATGAAACCCAATCAACTTCACAACCCTATAATGAAAATCATCAGTGTTAACATACACTGTTGGTAGGAATAATATTCAGAATTTTAAATTCACAAATATAATCAGTTTATCGATATAAAAGAATCTTTATTGAACAAGGGATGGTTAAGGTATGTGTCTAACATAAGCTATAAACTTCCAATCTGTCTTGATTCGCGATACTGGCTGTTGTAGTAAGAATAGGTTTAAAGAGAACTGTAAGTAGTTAAATCCAAAAATTCGAATCGATAATTCCATCTTTCTCTGTGCTAATGTGGTGGTATGACAACTTGAACTCACATACGTATGTACGTACGTACAAAGTTCAACGTTGTAGCTGACTGACGGACTGATTGATAAATCCACAAAAATATCATCAGATTCATAAAGGTTATTGACTAGTAATCTGTTAATGAATGCAGACTACTTGATTAGGAAGGTGAAGTATTGAAACACCATCAGTTGTTGTTTTTGGCACTTGTGTTACGAGAATACCCAGCCACCGACTGTCTTGATAAACGATAGTGTTTTGTGGTGCAAACGTATGCTGGAAGAAACCTAAGGGCGGTCAAACCAAAACATCGCACAAATCCATGAAGTCACTGACAAATGGACTGAGTCATATTGGTAGGTGTCGATTGTCTGGTTAGGGTCCGCGAGACGATATTAACCGATGGTTAGAGACCTTGAATGACATGACTCAAAACCGTTTGCAATGGTGCAGGTGCATTCATTCTTTGTACTCTCTCAAATTCTAATCTTCTGAATTCCTCATCACCTTTGTCTTACTCGTTTTTGATTCGTTTCACTGGCCTATACCTCTTGAGTAATATTCTCGAACCTTAATCTATCCGAATATTGCTCATACTTCTACTACCTCTGCTACAATGGGATTCGAAATGACAGTTATGTCTGTGTGCTAACGTAGTATGGCAATCTGAACTGATGTACTTACGTACGAAGTTCCACGTTGTAATTGACTGACTTGGCTAGACTTTGCGCATTATTTCTAGTCATTGATTAAAGATATCGCTTTCCAAACCTCTTTCCATATCGTGTCATCCATTGAAATCAGACACTTTTCTCTACAGTTGTAATTTTTTCGGGTGACACTCTGCTGCCCTATTACTTATAACTCATGTTGTGAGTATGTAGTGCCTCCACATATATTCCAGTACGCTTACATTTAATTTGGTCAAGCCATGTCAATTAATTTATTTAACCGAGCCATTTGTATTGGGAGCAACAATTTATATGTACCATTCGTTCTTATTATTTTCTGGTTTGTATGAGCTCACATGACATGTCCCACTTGTCATTTGACCTTGTCAACTATTCGTCTCTTTTATTCATCTGTGCCTATTTCGCTTGTCGCATGTCTGTCTTATATTTGTCTGACTATATATCCTTAACCATGCTCTATTTCTGGGAGTGGGCTCATTAGCCTTCTCCAACGCGCTTTGCCTGTTCACATCGCTTCCTTCGCCCACTCGTTCGCATTGTAATCCTAGGAGGTTGGCTCAACAGCCTTCTCCAATTCACATCGCTTCATCCCTTTTAATTCACTGCTTCTTCGCTTCGCTTTGTGCTGTGTCCTACAAATGGTAAGCCCACCGTCGAAATCGCCCACCACAAATAGTATTCGCCACACTAGGATTCATGTTCTTTGCTACAACTGATACCTAATGTTAATATGTATATACATATCGTTTTCTTATCATCCCTTTTCTATTCAAATCATAGATTAAATCTAATCTAGCTGAATCCAAACAAAAAGGTATTGAACAAGTTGGTTCATGGGATCCATTTCCTAATATACACGGTGAACAATTGATTGCATTGAATTTTGAACGGATCTCTTATTGGTTAGGTATGGGAGCTGAACCAACTGTACGTGTAGCTGAATTATTAGGATTATGCGGTTTCTTACCAGTACATCCACGTTCTTATTTAATGGCACATAGAGCTCGTATTGCAATGGCAAAATATTTGGCCAGGGTAAAACAACAAACTACTGAACAAACGATGTTAACAGATGATGACAAAGAGGCGGCCGCCACCACATTGAAAAATGTTGAAACCACTGATGATCACAATGATGATGATGACAGTAAGGCAAAGACAGGCAATGCAGATATTTATTCACGTGTTGATTCAATATGGCGTAAAGGCAATGAACCACCAGATTGGTGGCATTATGGTTTACCCTAAAAAAAGAGAAAAACAGTTATTTATATAACGAAATTGATACTCCATCAGCCCGAAAGAGAACAGTGACTTTACTGCAAAAAAATGTAAATAAATCTCTTTTTTTTTCCACCTCCTCTTTCAAAGTTTTCCTTTAGTCTGTGTAGGATTTAATTTGTCCTACAGATATTGGCGTGCACAGAGTCTATGGGAAAGATCAACTTATGCTTTAAACTTTATCTGTTTCTAAACATAAAAACAATTAAATTAGTACAATAAATACGGGAAATTACAATTATCAAGTAAGACGGGCAAACATACCGACCAATAGTAGCGTGTCTTATGGAAATGAGTCAAGTTATGAGTCAATCAATTTGTAGGTCATTTACAACAAAGAAAGTTTACAGACATGTCAGATCAGATCACGTGGTGGGCGCTTAAACCACAATTTGATTGGTTAGTTATGACATTGACTACAATTAATTATGAAAATAACTAACAGTCTGTGCTTCTTGAAATCATTGTCAATGTAGAGTTGATGCATGTGGAATGAACTGGAATATGTTGACGTTAATGTTGTCATTAAGTAAGCGAACACTTTGTTACGGGTTATATCACAAACCAACGTTTTAGTTAGATAAATATCGAAAATCACTATAACACCTAAATAGCTATTCCATATTGGGGTAGACCTTTTCTCAGTAGTATGCAACGATGGAACTAGGATGTTTCAGTCTAGTTCTAAAATCAATCTATCATATAAAATACTGTTATAATGCTGCTATGTAGCTGATATTGGAAATCCTACTGATTGACTAAATTCAGATATTCCAGTATAACAACCCTAAATACTGTTCCCGAATCTCCAATATATCAGAACACAGCACCGTTAGATGACGTTATTTATGGGGCTGAGTACAGAAGGAAGGAATAATAAGCTTTAGAGATCGAATAGGAAACAACATTGGAGTACGTGACATTGATAGTTAAGACGACCAATAAGAAACAACATTTTAAGTGATATTGAGAGTTAGGACGACCATAATTTTGACCAATAGAATTAGACTTCCAAAAATAGTTCTCTTAGGATATTTGATGAATATCCTAACAAATACTAATTGGATAGTCTCCAGTAACAATACTGTAATAATTGTTTTATACATTTCTTTCATAAAAACTTACTTTATTTGAAACTTTTGCTTGCTTAAATCTGTTACCTACCCTTCGTGGAACATAGGCGGCAGACCAGCATTCTCCAGCCTACTCTGTCCTGGACCATTCTTACCCGATTGCCCTTCACTCTTTTCATATCTGCTTCCTAGACTTTTTTCTTTGGGCTGCACCAGTGCAACTCCTTATGTGTATGAGGCATTTTCTTCATGGCTGGAGTATAACAACATCTCCTCGTGAAGCTAGTTTTTTGCCCATCCTGGTTTCAATGTGTTTGACTGATTCCAAGTACTACCAGGCTGTATCTTTTCATTTCCACAGAAACTTGAATGACTCTCCCAGTCTCCCACAAGGTAAGGACGCTCTGTTTACCCATGTTAACGGTTGCTCTCTTCCGACCGTAGCTACTTTCTTGACTTGGTGGTCGGGCTTGCCTATCGTAATGATACAACCGAGTTATACTGGATGAAGCATATGTTTCTTTTAGGTCCTATCATGCTAGGCTGATCGACTGGACAACAATGAGACTAAAAGCAGCAACTCAAGGTCTGATGGCCAAGTCGTACTGCTGACTGTAGTGAGGTGTGACAGCATTAAGGTATTTCCCTCGGACAACCAGTATTTAGGCCGATGCCTCCTTTACGCAGCAGATGGAAGGGGTTCGAATAAGTCAACCATAATATTGTCACACGTCAGCTTACCCCACAGCTTTCCGTCTCCCGAAGTAAGGCCACTTGAATAGCGGAGCTAACACTTTAAAAACTTCCCAGGAAAAGGCCATGCGTGACCGGCCTTAAGCAGTTGTCGCTTTGGCTCTGTAGTCACACTCCCAGGTCTCTAAGACCAACACTAACCCAACTTCTTTTTCAGGTCCCTCGAGAAGCACTCTTCCACAGTGTGAGCAACCACGAAGTGACATCCTTCCTCATACCCGTAACAGCACCAAACAGACCAAATTCGTCGAAATCAAGTCCATTGATTACTCGATTGCTTTCACTTCTGTGTATTCTGTCAACTAGAGTAGCGAAATCTGTCAGGTTTAAATTGTAATGATGTTCAGTGTCCGAGGTATGAACATGGTGTTTGTTAACCCTTCCCCCTACAAACTGATTATTACAGCGTGAAGGAAAGAATGGAAGCGGAATTGTAATTGACCACCGAATGATATGCACGAAAACACATTTACATACATACATATACACACTTCACCTCCCTTAGAGAATAAATCGATTCGTTGACCATTGATATGCATATGACTTGTAGGACATGCCAGTCAGTCATCAAATGGCTTCAACTCCTAGTCGTGCTCTATATCACAAATCAATGCTTTTCTTATCTTCTCGTTTGAGTTAACTTGTGGTATGTTTCTTAAATATCAGACAGATACAACGCAGAACTTCGTACGTAAGTACATCAGTTCATGTTGCCATGCCCCATCAGCACAGAGACACAACTGTCAGTTCAAATCCAAGAATGATAGCGATAATAGAAGTATTAGCAGTAATGGAGAAGATTAGGGAGCGAAGATGTGATTCGTGAAGTATAGTTCAGTGAGATAAATTTAGAAGGAGAAAGGTAGAGATTATGAGGAATGCAGAAGCTTAGAATTTCATAGAACTCAAAGAGTGGATGCATCTGCGCCATTGCAAACGATTTTGAGTCATGACGTTCAACTTTTCTCAGACTATGCTTTGTCCTCTAACATTCTGTATATAAGTGACATATAAGGTTCTAGAGTTTGTAGTCATATTTATTGTCGATTCGTATATTATCAGTGCAAATATGTCCTAAACATCATGTTAAAATCGACTCGATCATATCAGGCTAGGACATTGTTCTGATAGCTGCCGAACACCTTTTGCTACTTGAAATCAAGTGCTCATGCAGTTATGTTCACAAAATGGTTCACAGTAATCTGTAAATCTGAAAAGGTAACTTACTAGGAAATTTATGAAACAAGCATATGTTAATTGGTTCAAAAATGTTGCCCTTATCCACACCACGCTTCTATCGTTTTTTTTGTGTAATGCTTTATACTACTTATACATATATTCAGTAAATAAGTTTACCTTTGATAATTTCTAGGGGTGTAATGTAACGGGAAATATATTGTAATGTGATATGCTGAAATATTTCTTCATAAACCTATTGCGTTCACTGTATTTATCACTTCAGATCTTGTAATAGTGATCCCCTGTTTTTTAAACGCGAAGTGTTTTATATTTGTTTGGCCTTATGTTCTGTTCGATTGTTGATCTATTGATGTTAACACCAGACACATCTGTCAGTTACGCTATCGTAGGTTGTGATTTTCCTGTCATCCATTTCTATAGGAGGCCCTTCATTTTACAGACATTGAAACATGTTAAATGACTTGGACATCATACTAGTTGATGTTTGTATGCAATAAATGTTTATCCATCAATAGAGTAACCCTTATTTACAACAAATTACTGTATTTCCTGAACTCCGATTTCAAACAGTTCTTGATCCTTTAGTTAAACATTTTTAGTGGCTTGCTATCTGACTCCGATTTTTGCGAACATTGAAATACGCAATGAAATAAATCTTTTTTCTGTAAATCCCTATGTGCGATGGCGATGATTTCAAGCCCACTACAGTTTTATGGATGAATTTATTTCAAATATTCATGTCAGCAGTTAGATAGTAGAATGCAAAGCGACGTAAAGTAAAGCGGAGAAGATGAATTGGCCAGATCGATATGATGAGACTCGACTTAGTATTTACAGTAACAAAAATAAGTGATAAACAAAGTCAGCAACACTATTTAAAACAACCAAGATTTAAGGAAAATGATTGACAAGGCCAAAAGACGTTTGAATAGTAAATCAGGAAGAAAAGACCAGTCAGTTTTTCCAGAAGCTCTGATAAGTCATGTACGCATACTACAAGCTAGTTTGTAGAAAATTTTACATTAATTTGTGTGAAAATAACCTGTGATTACTCGTTTATTGTTTATTGGTATGACAACAGAATAAATCACCAACATCATTAAGGCGAAACAACAAAATCGACCATTGGCGCCGACTTAATTTGCGATCAAAGAATAGTTAATTATGAACATGTTTTGACAGGAAGCAATTGAGCCAAGTTTTGATTAGCGACTTATGATTTTGCATTTACGTAATGTAGATATTTCGTATGTAGGATAACGTCAGTTGAACCGTAAAATGTTGCACTGCAAGTGATGATAATCATAAAATGTTTTCGTTGGTATTCAGACCAGGTGTGTCGAGATGCTGTTGAAAATGAATTATTAGACTGACCAGAAGAACAGAGAATTGTTTGTGGAATTAAGAAACATGTAGTCATATTCCTGTTTACTAGTATAGCCTAGCACGTTTCATTTCTTTGGAGAGATGACAAACTCTTTTGAGGAGAAACCGTAATAAGACCTGGTGAAAATACTTATACATACTTCTGAGGACGACGGAAAAATAAGACAAACTCGAATACGACGAACATAAGTAAGTTTGAGTGACTAGTCGCAAACAATAAGCCGTTGTTGGGTGTGCAATAGGAATCAGTATTATTTCAGTAGTCATGCAATATTTAAGAGCAATGAATGTATTCTGTAGTTATATGTCTATAGCGAATCGAATAATATACAACTTCGCGGGATAACATATGTTAATCCCGTTACTCTAAGAATCAGATTCTAGAAGAAGAAGTATATTTAACGCTAGCCTCGTGATATCGAAATAATATCGAGGCAAGAGGGCAAACAAACGGCTAACGTCCAAGCAGGAGACGTGCGAAGAGGAGAATGGGAATAACAGGCTTGGAGCGCGAGAGACAATCTTTAGTACAGATGAACAAGAGGTGTACAATAT